TTCCTCAGTCGTATCGCAGTATTACGTGACCGAAGCCGAAAATGAGTATGTTATTAGAGGCAACGCTGCTATTGTTCGATGCAAGATACCATCTTTTGTTAGCGACTTTGTGTATGTAGAATCCTGGTTAATGGACGACGGACAAATACTTACTATAAATAACACAAATGCTGCAGAGGGTATTTTTCTTAAAGCCTTATAGTTTAATCTTCCTTATCCGGAGTCCTTTATAATTTCCCGTTAAGTTGACTAACTACGAGTACATGATAGTAAACTAAACTTTTTTAACATATGTAGTGGTATCACAATCATATGAAGCAGAGGCTGATAATGAATATGTGATTCGGGGTAACGCTGCTATTATGAAATGCGAAGTACCAAGCTTCGTCTCCGACTTTGTATCAGTTGAAATGTGGACAGACAGTGATGGAGGAACATATTACCCGGGAAATAACGAGGGTATTTTATAGTATGAAATGTACACCTAGGTCCTTAAATCCTTTTTATTTATTTTTTTCTTAGCTGTCCTACAAAGTTATGAGGCTAGAGTAAACGACGAATTCGTTTTACGAGGCAACACGGCAATACTCAAATGCATCGTACCTTCATTCGTCGCGGATTTTGTTCATGTTATGGCCTGGATTATGGATAATGAAACTGTCTCAGCTCAGGAATATTCTAATACTGAATCTGGTAGTGGAATAACTTGTAAAATCTTAACTTCGTTAGTAAAGACCTTTTCCTTTTTCCTTTGCAGATTTAAATATTCTTCATTTATTTAAAATGTTTTATCAATTGACAGTGGTTCATCAAACTTACGAGCCTCGAGTAATTGACGAAGACGTCTTGCGTGGAAATTCAGCTATAGTGAAATGTCTGATCCCATCGTTCGTTGCTGATTACGTGTCCGTTATAGAATGGGTGACAGAGGAAGACTCCCTGTCTGTGTTTTCGTTGAATCGCTCTGAGAGCAATTACGGTAATCGAGAGCGCCCGCGCGACCTCAATTGTTCCTATCCGCTCTAAGCCACATCCCCGTCTATATCGAACGGAGTATGTAATGTAGTACTTTGTTGTTTCAATGTCACATGAAATATTTCAGCTGTTAACCAGTTCTACGAATCGCAAGTGTATGACATATACGTTATAAGAGGTAATGCTGCAGTGTTCAAATGTCATATTCCTTCTTTTGTCTCTGATCACGTTCATGTTGTATCATGGCATGATACTGAGGGTGGAGAATATACTCTAAACGATAATAATGGTACAATTTAGTTATATAAATTATGAAATAAATCCCATTCATCCCTTTCCGAGCCGTATTAAATTAAATACTTTTTCTGAATTTAGATTTGAAATATATTTCAGTTGTATCTCAGGCTTATACCGTCAACTTAGTAGAAGAGAATGTATTAAGAGGTAACTCAGCGATATTAAAATGTCTTATCCCAAGCTTCGTTACTGAATATGTATCTGTTGCGTCTTGGATAATATCCGAAGATGATAATGAAGATGAAATTAAGTTGGACGATATCACAAAGCAATGGGGTAAAATTAGTCAGTCAACTGTGTAAAATATAATTTTTCCTTGACCCAATCCACATTTCAATTGAAAGAAAATTCAACCATTGCAATTTTTATCTATTTTACAGTCGTTACACAGGCTTATACAGTTAATTTGATGGAAGAGAGTGTGTTACGAGGGAATGCTGTAATCTTGAAATGTCATATTTCAACTTTTGTCACGGAATATGTAACTGTTGCATCTTGGATAGTATCAGAGGGTGAAACCGAGGATTTAGAAATTAAAGCTGAATCAAATGATTTGGGTACACGAAAATATCTCCACGATTTTGTATATCTGCCCTCATTCCTTCCTGCAGTCTTTTGATAGTTCTAAATCATCTGTTACAATATTATATTTTTCAGTGGTATCTCAGGCTTATACAGTCAATTTAATGGAAGAGAACGTTCTTCGCGGAAATTCAGCAATAGTCAAATGTCATATTCCAAGTTTTGTCTCGGAATATGTAACTGTGTCTTCTTGGTTAATCTCAGAAGATGATATTGATGAAATGGAGATAAAATCAAATGAAACACTCAGCTTAGGTACAAAAAGACGTAAAGTGAATCCCGGAATTTCCTTTCCTTGGAGTAACAAAAGCATATCTTTAACTCTATTGGATCTCTTAAATTAGATTACAGCCATCGGGTGAAAGTGTTGGTTCCAAATATTGTTCATTTGGTTTTTCAGTGGTATCCCAATCATATACTGTCAATTTATGGGAAGAAAATGTTTTAAGGGGAAACGCTGCTATATTAAAATGTCATATTCCGAGTTTCGTTACTGAGTTTGTCTCTGTTACATCTTGGATAATTTCTGAGGCAGAAACTGATGATATGGAAATAAATTTAGATTCAGATTTTAATTTAGGTAAAACTTAGGAGCATCTTATTTACCATCACTACCCTTGTTTATCCTTCCTCCATTTGTAATATTAAAAAAAAATATGACACTTCCAGGGAGTATTGATTTGCTAAGTTTTGTAAAACCATTTTTATGTATCTTTCAGTCGTCTCCCAAGCATACGATGTAAAATTTTGGGAAGAATATGTTTTACGCGGTAACGCGGCCATCTTAAAGTGTCAAATACCCAGTTTCGTTGCTGAATATGTAACAGTTAACTCCTGGATAATTTCCGAAGATGAAAATGAAAAAGAAATAAAAATTACTGAACCTTCAGATATAGGTACTTTATTTGGAATCGTTTTTTGCAAATACAATACCTTTCCTTTCCTTTAAATCCCACCCAAAACCTCTCATTTTTTGAGATTCGTCTTGTTGCAAAAACTGATTCTGTTATTGTGCAGGTACGATCTTCTTCATATTTAAAGAAGCATTTCTGTGCTCACTTGAAGTCCTATTGTTTCAGTGGTTTCGCAATCATATGCAGTCAATCTAATGGAGGAATATGTTTTGAGGGGAAATGCAGCCATCTTAAAATGTCACATACCAAGTTTTGTTTCTGAGTATGTAACTGTTATCTCATGGATCATCAGCGAAGATGAAGAAGAAATCGAAATTAAAATTGAATCCACAGATAATTTAAACGGTACTTTCGTTATTAATATCGCTGAATCGGATTCTTTATTCTGGTTAAGACAGGCAATAAACGTCGTTGAGTAGGGCTGTGATCCTATTATTGGGTTTCCGTGACTCCATGGACCTAACGGTCTACCTTCTTCCCGTTTCCTCCTTCCTGCATGCCTTGAAATTTGTAAGTAAAATAGCAACCCTATGTTGCGTGCTGAAGCTTTTATTAACGATTTATTAAATTGCTTTTTGAATTATATTATATATTAGTTTAAAATAAGTTTATCTATATTATTGTCTTTCTGTACACAGATGGAAAATATTTAGTACTGCCATCAGGAGAATTGCATATTAGAGATGTTGGACCAGAAGATGGTTATAAATCATACCAATGCCGTACAAAACATAGACTTACTGGAGAAACTCGGTTATCTGCCACCAAAGGACGATTAGTCATCACTGGTAAGCTTATATTTACTTTAAAATTGAAGCATCGTATAAATTCAATCAATAAAAATTTCAAAACAATTTTAAACATTTTATTAAATGAATTTATTCGTTGCTCTTACAACCCATACTCAAATAATAAGAAAACAAATAAATAATCATTAAAAATAATATTAATCAGTTATGTTCGAATAATTTATAAACCTTCTAACGGCTAAGGTGATATTTCATCATCAAAGTAATTGAGTATGGGTTTTTACTTGAAATAACTTTAATTTTAAAGAATTTAGTAGAATATTATTAATTAATCCATACGAAATAACTTAAATTAACTAATTATATATATATTATTTATTGTTTCATTGATAATTAAAAGTAAAGTATTCATATTAATAATATTCTGCAATTTGAGGCACATTAAAGTAATCACTTTAATTTTCCATATAATTAACCGAATTAACATAATTATGAATCACACTATTGCATTGCTCCTGTTAAAATCCATTTATTTAAACTTATTTAAATAATACTAATAAATATGGAAAATTAAAAATATTGATTTGTAATGATAGCCTTTGTGGTCAAACTATATTTGTGTGCTCTTATTATTAAGTAAATATTAACAACTTGCCTGAATGTTGGGATAGGGTAACCTGCAGAGCCTTGACTCGCGTTTTTATGCATTATTTCGCTTATCATAAATGTAGAGAATAGTAGGGGTTTTTAATACTGACTAAGTCGATTATGATTGTGTCCTATCCTCGTGATCCCGCCTTCTCCCAACATACGCAGAGCCAGTGGGCCGTGTACCCCCTAAGTTTCCTAGCGCGCAGACAACCAGCGGTTTCCAGTTTAAAGTGGACACGAGTCTTGCAGTGTTGTGCTCTGCACAGGCATTCCCTGCACCTTTGCACCGGTAAGGCAACTTTACAGTACAATTAACACGGTTTACCTAATTCCTCAGAGCCAATAGGGCGTGTCCCACCAAAATTGTCTACAACTCAAGTTGGCATGATGTTCGAAACTATTTTGGACACCTCATTCGCTTTGCAATGCCCAGCTCAAGCGTTCCCTGCCCCGTGTTCAGGTAATGTGAAAATATTACCTTTCAATACGACAACTATCTGTGTACATTTTTAGAACCCGTTGGCCGCGTACCTCCGAAATTTGCATCTGTATTAACAGGAACGATGTTCGAAGTCGCAAAATATGATTCTTACGCACTACAGTGCCCTGCCCAAGCATTTCCTACGCCAATTTTCAGGTAAAGTCAGTACTTATCTGACCTTTGTCGCTTATACCAGTAAACTATAACAGGACAAGTATAATCATCATTGGCATCTATTCTTAAGAAAACCACAGAATGTATTCAATGACCTAAATATCTGCTGTCAGTCTTCAGATTTTGCACTTGTTATTCTATAACATCCTTTTTATTTGTGCTTTTGCTGCAGAGCCTATGGGAAAAGTTACTCCAAAATTTCCAAGTTTAGAGAAAAGTCGTTTATTTAATTTTGACGCCAACCAAAGTATTGCTATTTTGTGTCCTGCCCAGGCGTTTCCCGCTCCCATGTTTAGGTAAGCTGTTTATTTCAAGATATATTTATTTTTCCCGAATAAATCATAACTCTTACTATTTAGAGCCAATGGGAAGAGTATCTCCAAAGTTTCCTACCGGAGATATCAGTAGAACTTTCATTGCGGACTCGGGTGATGGAGTTCCAATATTATGCCCTGCACAAGGTTTCCCTGCTCCAGCTTTTAGGTAATTTCAACGAAACGTTTTTCACAAACAGAACCGATGGGCAAAGTATCTCCAAAATTTCCATCGATGGAAACAGGTCGCAGCTTTACTTTCGCATTTAATTCATGTGTGACCATCTTATGCCCGGCACAGGCGTATCCCACACCATCTTTCAGGTACTTTTATTTATAGTTATACATATTATATTCTTAGAACCTGTGGGTCGAGTTTCACCAAAATTTCCATCAATGGATAGCTCAAGGAGTTTCAGCGTTGAACTAAATACGAGCCTTACAATATTATGCCCGGCACAGGCATATCCAGTCCCAGTGTTCAGGTAAAAAGAAAAAGATATACTTTTTATAAACAAACAAAAATCATTTTCTGTAGAACCTGTCGGTCGTGTCTCGCCTAAATTTACGAGTGGTGACAAAAGTCGAGCTTTTGATGCCAATGGCGGTGACAGCATACCATTGTTATGTCCTGCTCAAGGATTCCCTGCCCCATTATTCAGGTACCACCAAATAGATACAAACTGAAATATCTGTACTCATTTTTAGAACCCATGGGTAGCGCTGCTCCAAAAGTAGCGACAAAAGTTATTGACATAACGGAGGTATTACTCAATCATACGATACCTTTACTGTGTCCAGCCCAAGCTTACCCTGTCCCAAAATTCAGGTAATTCACATATCACATAATAAATTGTTCATCTTCAGAACCAATAGGAAGAGTCCCTCCAAAATTTCCAACCATGGATAGTGTCAGAGGTTTCAGTGCACATATTAATGATAGTGTTACATTACTGTGTCCTGCTCAAGCCTTTCCTGTTCCTCTGTCCAGGTAATAAACACTATCTTGTAATTTTTAGAACCTATTAATAGTGCGCCACCAAAAGTACCAACTAAGACGATAGAGTTTGTGGATTTCGTGATGGATTCCAGTATCACTTTGTTATGTTTGGCACAGGCGTTTCCCGTTCCAGTATTTAGGTGAGTCAAGTGATATACGTAATAAAAAACGTATTTGTTTTAGAACCGATCGGTATGAAACCTCCTACATTCTCTACAGATTTTAAGATGGCTTGGTATTTAAAGGATGTCATGCAAGGTTTTGCATTGCTTTGCCCAGCACAGGGATTCCCAGCCCCACAGTTCAGGTATTTGTAATGTTTGTTCTACACTTTTAGAACCAATTGGATCCAAAAGTCCTTCATTTTCAAGTGGCTCAAAGCTTGCCTGGTTTGAAATAAGAACCGACCAAGATTTTGCATTAACTTGTCCTGCACAAGGATATCCTGTCCCTATGTTTAGGTAAGATTTTCAAAAATAACAATTTGATGTTTCCAGAGCCCATCGGTTCCAAACCACCTTCTTTTCCAACTGATGATAAATTAGCTTGGTTTATATATAGACCTCTGGATCACAGTTTAGCTTTACTTTGTCGAGCGCAGGGATACCCGGTTCCAACGTACAGGTACAATATGAAAGATCTTAAATAAGTAATTGATATTCTTCTAGAACCTATTGGAACGAAGTCACCTACTTTTTCAACTGATAATAAATTTTCGTGGTATGTCAGGAGTATCGGACAGAATATAAATATCCTGTGTCCAGCACAAGGCTTTCCAGTGCCAGCTTTCAGGTGATTTCTTTACTTATTCTCATTTACTTCACTTATAGAACCTGTTGGCTCAAAATCACCTACGTTTTCCAATGATGTTCAATTCTCGGGGATTACTCGTAAAACAGATCAAGATTTTGCTCTTTTATGTCAAGCGCAAGCTTTTCCTGTCCCAAAATTCAGGTGAGTTGATAGTATTTTAATTTTGTTACAATTATGTTAGGCGTAACTTAAAAAAATAATAAACATGGGTTAATTTTTGGTGAAAGAACTATCAATTGTTTTCTGACATTCAAGTCATTGATTTTGATCAAAATCTCTCTATCGCAGAACCTATTGGATCAAAGGCGCCAACGTTTTCTTTGGAATTTAAAAGTACTACTTTAACCAAAACATCTGGACAAGGCATAGTCCTTTTGTGTCAAGCTCAAGCATTTCCTGTTCCAATTTTCAAGTGAGTGCTCGTATTAAGATATTTTTTTTCCATTTAGAACCTGTCACGGCAAGAGCACCCGCTTTCCCTACTTCGGCATCATCTTACAATTATGATATTCTGGCTAATAATGGAGGCTCATTACTCTGTCAAGCACAAGGTTACCCTCGACCTGAATTCAGGTATAACTCCAATCCATAGAAATATTTGCTTTTAGAACCAGTCGGGGCCAAGGCACCTTCATTTTCTTCTGACTCGAAAGGCAGTATTTTCGTAAGAGAAATCGGTCAAAGCTTTGCGTTACTCTGTCAGGCGCAAGCGTTCCCTACGCCGATATTTAGGTAAGCAATAATGTTGTTTTTGTTATTTGCACAGAGCCCGTCGGTTCCAAGCCACCAACATTCTCAACAGACTTTACCTTGTCTGCTGTAACAAGACATTTGGGTCAAAGTTTTGCAATGATGTGTCAAGCTCAGGCTTTCCCTGTTCCTAAATTCAGGCAAGTTTTTAAGAACACATTTGTTCTACTCATGATGTTAAATATTTTTAAATCGTTTTTTTTTTCAAAATATTGCTCAACTCTTTGTTAATTGTTAATCGTTGTATCCGATCGCAAAGACGACAGTTGTTTGTTTACATTTTTGGTAATTTTGTGCAGAGCCTGTTGGATCGAAGGCTCCCTCTTTTTCGACTGAATCCGCGCTCTCATCTTTAAAAAGACACGAAGCTCAAAGCTTTGCCTTACTTTGTCAAGCTCAAGCGTTTCCTGTACCGAAATTCAGGCAAGTTCCCATGTAATATAACTTTATCATCATCGTAGTCGATGTTTTTAGAACCTGTGGGAGCTAAATCTCCTACATTCTCTACTGAATCTATGGGAAGCATATTCAGAAAACGAAATGGACAAAGTTTTGCACTTCTTTGTCAGGCGCAAAGCTTTCCTGCCCCTATATTCAGGCAAGTTTATTTACCCAGCATTTGTCATATAAGTAACTTCTGATTAATAAAACAGAACCAGTCGGCTTCAAAGCACCTACTTTTTCGACGGACGCTCGTAGTATATCATTCATACGCAATATTGGACACAGTTTTGGATTATTATGCCAAGCACAGGCCTTTCCAGTCCCCATATTCAGGCAAGTTATCTCAACATTTTTATTATTCAAGGGTTTTAATTACCTTTATTTCTAAATTTGACAATATAGAACCCGTCGCAAGCACGACACCGAGCATCACTGCCACCCCAAAAGCTACCTTGATGTATCCGGCTCTTACGTCTTTAGCCCTCCTATGTCCAGTACAAGGATTTCCTGTTCCAATGTCGAGGTGCGTTCATTCCTCCCATTGATATTACAGAACCGACAAATAAGATTGCCCCACGGAGTGATAAATCTCGAAAATTTGAAGGTGGGGAAATATTTTTAGTCTCTGCATCGCAATCAGTTTATCTTACCTGTGAAGTAGCTGGTTATCCCGCTCCTATATTCAGGTAAGTGTTGTGAATGAAAAATAATTTACTCGGGCGCATCTCACGTGAGTAAACTTGAAAGTATTTATAATTGTCTTTCTATCGATATCCTTATCAATACAGACTGCTCAGAATCTTTTTCCACTCAAATATAAATGCGATTACAGAGCCAACTAATAAGATTCCACCTAGAAAAGATACTACTAAACACTTCGAAGGTTGGGAAGTACTCTTCGTGCTACAAAATGAAATAGCATACTTAACTTGTCAAGTTTCTGCTTACCCAGTGCCCTTATTTAGGTGAGTGATAGGCGTAACATATGGTGAAAGTCAGCTTATATTCCAGAACCTACTGGTAGAACTGGCCCAAAAGTAACTGGCGATGGCCTTAATCGACAAATAGGCCGAAGTAATGAGAGCCTTGCGTTACTATGTGAAGTGCAAGCTTTTCCCGCTCCTTTAATGAGGTATGGCCTTATACAGTCGGTCGGCCGTTGGCGTCTCACGCATTCATTCCTCACGTAGCATTATCATACCATTCCAATGTACTGATATGCGTTGTTATTACAGTATGTTGCGGCGGCCGCACCGCCCACTCGTGACATGAAGGCGTGATGAACCGCGGCCGGCCGCGCGCCCCTATTATGGTCCCCAGACAAAGTAATGATTGAGCAACGCAAGCACCTCCTGGTAAGTGTCAGGGTGTTCTTGCTTTCATTCAAATGCTTTACATCTTTACTTTGTGCTTTCTCGTGAGTCAAGGCAATAAACACCTTTGGTTAATCATTTTATGGCAGTAACAATCCTGGATATCGTATCGCTTTTCCTTAATTTTCATGCTAGTATTCTTATTTAGCACGTTTTTGAGAAAATTGGGCACTCGGGTTTCATTATACTGAGTTTCTTCAATGTGGCAAATAAATATTATCACGTTTTCTTTAAGAGCCAACGAACAGCGTCCCTCCCAAGCTTTCTGGTGATCGTTTACAAGAATACGAAATAAATCTCAAAGAAACTGGTTCTGTCCTTTGTCTAAGCCAAGGTTTTCCTGTTCCTGGGTTCAGGTAGGTGACTTTGGCTCTATGTTAGGTTCAAAGTATCTAAATAGAAGAAGTTTATGAAAGAAAAGGTTTTAAATCTCCAATTGATGACCTTCTTTATAACAAATGATCAATAATTATATAATATTTTTCCTTTATTAGACATAGGATCAAAATCTGAACGTATTCTCTTTTGTTGCAGATGGTACAAATTTGTCGATGGCACTACTAGAAAACAACTCGTCACACTCAATGATAGAGTAAAGCAAGTATCAGGAACTTTGATCATCAAGGAGGCTAAAGTTGAAGATTCTGGCAAATACTTGTGTGTAGTTAACAATTCTGTTGGAGGTAAGGATTTCAAATGGTTCTGTTTATCATTCTCTAAATATTATAATCTTATTTGATGTTATCTTTTGCAGGCGAGTCCGTGGAAACTGTTTTGACAGTAACTGCTCCCCTAAAATCAGCAGTTGAACCAGCTACACAAACTGTAGACTTCGGGAGACCAGCGGTATTTACATGTAGATATGAAGGCAACCCCATTAAGACTCTCACTTGGTTGAAAGATGGCAAAGATATAAATCATCATGATGCAGTGTTGAGGTATACTTTTTGTTCATTGCTAATTTGGCACAGATTAGTAGAATAGAATAATATAAAATGATACAGTAGAAGAAGATGTTATTTATTAAGTTTAAAGTAAAATAATAAAGAAATTCTTGCATTATAATTAATATACATATCTAACGGTCGGTGGCAATCAGACGGCAGATCCGTTAAGCGTCTCACGGAAGTATTAGTTAGTAAGCAACGGGTCTATCGTCGAGTGTGCAAAATTAAATGTCATTTCATATATTTTATCACCAGCTGGTAATGTTCCCTCTGCTGGGGGGCACCGGCCTTGCCTATGGATGGAATCGAACCAATTCAATTAGGATATATAAGCCATAACTCACTACGCGGGTCCGTGTGGATTGCTGGGTGTTAAAGACTGTAAATGATTGCCTCCCAAAAAACGGAAGAGATCGAGATGATAATTACGATAGTTGCATAATTTCCACATCGTAGACTGAACTCGAGAACTACTGCACCATTTTACTTTAAATAAATATTTGTCAATTCTGACATTCTACGACCGACAATCCCACACCGCCCCCTTTATTCGTAAAAGTGAAGATATCATTTTTTTTATTATTCATTGAATTGATTACAGAATCGAATCTATAAAGAAAGAAGACAAAGGCATGTATCAATGCTTCATCCGTAACGATCAAGAGAGTGCTGGCGCAAGTGCTGAACTTAAACTTGGAGGACGATGTAAGAATTTGTTTCATATTTTATTATAAGAACCCTTATTTAAATTATTCTTATCAATCATGAAATTACTGAATAATTTCTAATTAAACGAATAAATTAGCGCTTATTATTATTTATTATCAATATTAATATGTACTCGTTTATACACATTTTTTTTTATCTTCTTCCAGTCGAACCACCTCAAATCCGTCACAGTTTCGGCGAGCAAACTCTTCGCTCCGGTCCATCACTACGTCTCAAATGTGTCGCATCAGGCAACCCCACGCCCGATATCGCCTGGCTCTTGGATGGTGAGAAACTCAGCAGCGGCGAGCGTCTCAAGATTGGACAATTCGTCACCGCCGATGGCAACGTCGAATCGCACTTGAACATCTCTTCGGTACACACTAACGATGGCGGATTGTATTCCTGTATCGCATCGAGCAAGGTATATTTCAATTTGTTAGCAATTACCTACTAAAATAATTTTCCCAAAGCAGTCATTTTGGGAAAACTATTTTAAAAACTTTCATATATCATAATAATTTTTCTCAAAAAATGAATTATATCGCGAATTATATTAATTTGAATTATATCGCGAAAAAAAATCAGTCACGTGACGTGACGTCATGTTTCAATTCTCGTAATTTCATACGTAACAGATTATAAATCGCAAGTTAATTTTCCAAAGTACAATATGCTAACAATTTATTGAAAAAGAAAAATTCTACATAGTTTTTGTTTACATACAAGTTACTGGTTCCAGCATATTGTTCGTTAAATTGAATTAGTGTATCTCCATCTCTGTCCCACATCAATTATTTGATAAAGATCTAATTATGTCTCATAACAACTTCAAATAAACAACACTCAATAGATCGACAGAAAACTTCGATGGTTACATTAACCAGACTGTCATCAATAGCAAGAACAGTGGACTGTACTTAATTATTAAAGAAATAGTTTAGCAAAGAAATATACATATTTAAGAATATGTATAAAAGCACGGTCAGGAAGGATGAAATTTTCTCTGATGACTTCCATCCTAATGCATCGGTCCGTTAAGCATACATAATCTCCCCATTACTCATTATGAGTTTTGTCATGTGTTAAACACACTTAACAAAACTCATAATGAGAATTGCTCTTGAAGATTAGAACGACGTGTCACCATTGGAGGACAAAACCACCGGACGATATACCACTATTCGCAAGTAGTGTTCAACACATGGAAGAATTTCTGCATAGAATGGAACAGGCCAGTCTTGACTTTGGTCTTAAAATAAATCACAGTAAAACCCAAATGATGATTATTGACCGTGCAAACGTTTTGACGGAGGTTACACAAATAGCGAATTGTGAGGTAGTTCATTCAAATATATACCTAAGGGCACTGATATCAGTGGCGGCTGCATAGACGCGTTCAAGCGGCGAATGGTAATTTCTAGGTCAGCTATGGACAAGCTGAGGAAAATATGGGGGAATCGAAATATTACCGAAGCCACAAAACACGACTTGTTAAGTATTCCCCATATTCCTCTATGCTGCTGAAACATGGACTGGGAAAGTGAGAAAAAACGGATCGACGCTCTTGAGATGTGGTGCTAGAGAAGAATGCTCGGTACATTATGGACGTAATCCCGAACCAATGAGTTCAAACAAAGATTGTCGATTGCTCTGTGCGGGCTCGTGTTCTTACTTTTTTTGGACACATAACACGACGCGGGGTGAATCCATAGAGGGCCTAGTAGTGCAAGGAAAGGTTGATCGCACCAGAACGCGCGGCAGATCACCCATGAGGTGGACCGATAAAAAAAAGAAAACCTTTGACAAACCGCTGCATAAATGTACGAGAATAGCGAGAGTTCGGGAGGAGTGGCGTCACATTTTGTAACAGGCCACTTGACGACCACGACCAGTCTGTCGAGAGTGTAGCGCCTAAGATGAAGATAAAAGCACAATGATATTACAGATAGATAGCAAAACAAAGATACATATTAAACAAAAAGTGACTAAGTAAACCGACGTGAAGCAACGCTTGCGTTGTGTTTCGTCGTGTGAGTGAGGGTACCGGAGGCCCAACCCTTCCCTCCAAGGCCGGCAGCGCGTTTGTAGCCCCTCTGGTGTTGCAGGTATCCATAGGCGACGGTAATCACTTACCATCAGGTGATCCGTCTGCTCGTCTGCCCCTATAACATAAAAAAAAAATTTAAAAATATTAAAAACACTTAATTAAAGAGGCTGACAGAGCTGTCGTCAACACAGACCAGCCCTGCTATTCTGTAAAAATCCGAACCCGAATTCGAATTCATTCATAGAATTCACTTCAAAAGCAGCACCCGCTCAACCTTGAATTGGTAATAACGTTTCATAAATGAAGTGAGTTTCAAAATGACATAGGAATAGAATATCTGCGACACGTATAATCAATTATAGATTGAGTTATATTTTTATACAAAAAAATGGAACCAATAGAATTTCAACATTAAATTACGTGAATTCGGGCACACGAGTGAATTCAAATTCGGGTTCGTATTTTTACGGAATCGCTCTGCTGGAATCAAAAACTGAAAAATAAGGTGGGTGATACCGCCAAACTGATTTATAAGACACTCGGTGGAAACTTAACTGCATTCATTATTCCCTGAACTATAAAAATTTGTGAATTTATGACATTAATTTATATTTTAATTGGTTTTTCTAGGTTGGCAGCGCTTCTCACTCTGCTCGCGTTAATGTCTATGGTCTACCGTACATCCGGCCAATGAAGAAACGTCCAGTAGTCGCCGGAGACACCCTCATAGCCCACTGCCCAGTAGCAGGATATCCCATTGATTCTATTGTTTGGGAACGCGATGGACGGTAAGTCGATTTTAAAGAGACATCTTACGAAGTAATTTTTCACGAAAATGATCTTTAAAAATCGCTACCTTTTGATTGATGAAAAATTATATACTTGCTCTTGTCCGATTTTCCTTTTAAATATAAAAATAAGGTAAAACAGATCTATGGTAGGATTTAGAAAAACGCTATAAAAATGTCTCACTGTACCAACTCCGCTCGCGTTATAAATTTGTCCATGCTGCCCATTGAAGACAAGAGTCACTTTTATAACGGTAACGAAGTTTGCGGTATTTCCTGTCACACTGAAAAAGTAGTTTGAACAGTTCTGGTAGCTGTAGTGATAAAGCTTAAACCTCCATTGTCATATATGTTTAATACTCTTTCACGCAATAAGTACTGATCTTAAATAAATATCTGAAGGAACATATAGTCGACTTTTTATCTAACTGAACGATTACCAAGAGAACCACGTGGGTGAAACCGCTAGCGGAAAGCTAGTTGCTCGATAGTTTTACTATAAAATGGTAATCGAGATATGTACCGCAAAATTCAGAACTTAAAGGCTCGCATCAAGCTGAGTTTATAGGATTACTAGCTGACCCGACAGACTTCGTCCTGTCAAAAAGATTTGTAATGTGGCAGTTTTTTTGCCTACGTATTTAAAAAAACACTTACTTACTTTCTTTTATTTCTCTTCAATTTGGATATTAAAAATAATAAAACACTGTTGGTAACGCGATTTTTGTTTGACTGATGTAATGACGTGGAAACTGATGCATTTTATCTCGCGTGCCGAAACTAATACAAAAGAAACGCGAGTTTCGGAACGCGACATTAAACTCCTCCAACTATGTATTCTGTGCTCCAACGCACACACGCACATTGATTTGATAGATATGATCTTTGACGTTAGGAACACACCTACATTGCTTAGACAACAGTGAGTGCTTGTAATTTAATATGAACTTTATACCATAGCAATAAAGCTCAAATTGACTACGTTTTAGTTACAAATCATTTGTATGGGAAAAAGAAAAGGGCTATTTTTAGGGTTTTTCCAGCAATAATTCTAATTTTTCTCGCCGTAAAAACCATCCTTGAACTTCAACGAACATTTTAAAAAAAGATTTGGCCAAATTGGTCGAGGCGTTGTTGAGTTATGCGCTTACCAACACATTTTGCGATTCATTTTTATATATATAGAAGAGTATCATAAAGCCAAACAACTGTGCCTTTTTATCTCACTGCGCAATCAGAGGATGGCGAATGGCGTTAAAATTATTTAATTAATTGCAAATTACGATTATTAAAAAGTTCTAGGTACTTAATTCATTCAAAACGACTCACATATTTATAAATTTTCCCTATATAACAAGATTTTTCCATTTCTTGTTTGTGATTTTTTCTGAATTAGAATTCCGACGAATCAACGCGTATTATAAACGAAAAATCATTTATTCAAATAAGCTTATTACAAGCACTTTCGAATCAGCCATTTTTTTTCCCTACCGCACGTCCAATACGTCTTTTGGCTGACAAGAAGAACAAGTGAAAAAACTAATCAGCTCTTTATCTCTTTAGGACATTTTACAGATACATATAAAATTTGTCAGTGTAGAACAAAGCGAAGGCTATTCAATTCTATCATTCGTAAACCGATTACAAGTATATCTATACAAATATATCTATAAGTTATATATATATGTATTTTTTTTTCAGAGTACTACCAATCAACCGGAAACAGAAAGTATTCTCCAACGGCACCCTTGTCATCGAGAATGTCGAACGAATGAGTGATCAGGCTACATATACGTGCGTCGCCAAGAACTCTCAAGGATTCAGCGTCAAAGGCAATCTGGATCTTCAAGTCATGGGTGAGTCAATATTATTTTGGTATTGTTTAATTAATGTAACGGATCAGAAAATGTTCAAGCTGTTATTTTGAAAAAGTGAAAATACTTAACATTAAGTTTGATGACGACATCTTAAGTAAAATCTTGAACAAATATAGTATACTTTTTCAATGTAACTACTACAACTAAGATTATATTAAGCATTTGTTAAACGTGTAAGAAATGACAATATTTTTAAGTAGAAATTTAGTACAATGTCAATATTAACTTGTTGATACGATCTTAGTCATTTCAAATCTGATTGCAACATTTTCAACCCTATTACAATATCAAATACGTTCACTTGATATATCAAGTTGAGAACACGTTAGATTATAATAAAAAACCTAATTTTTCGCATCGAATAGAAGCCTTAATCTATTGATAAGAGGTTTGAAATTGAATAAATTTGACCTTTTGTAACATATTATAACTCTATGTCAATAGGGATGACGACTGGGTAAAAAAATGTAGTTCGTCAGTCAGATAATAGACAAATATTAGATACGTATTTTTTTTACTTCAAATCCTATCCTATTAATATTATAAAGGCGAAAGTTTGTAAGTATGGATGTATGGATGTTTGTTACTCTTTCACGAAAAAACTACTGGACGGATTTGGATAAAACTTTACAGCAATATAGGTTATACATCAGAATAACACATAGGGTACTTTTTACTGGGAAAACTTCTCACTCCCACGGGATACCGACTTCCACGCGGACGAAGTCGCGGGCGTCCACTAGTTAACTATAAATAACTTAGATAACAGTCATTAAAGACGAGGAGTGGGGGCTGGCTACCTCAGGGAAAATCTACATTTGTCGAAAATATACAAAAACCTATTGTGGCATTTTAATGCAATGTATTGCCGTAATTTAATGATTAGGAAAAAACAGAAAAAGTCGTGTTTAATATTTTTCAACAATCTACCTGACGGATAAACAAACTAAAATTATACTTAGTCATATAATGAAAATAGAGTTCAATATGTAAATTATGCAATGTAAATGGGGACTTTAAAGTGTTGCAATCGATTAATTTTGATTTATTATTTACTGAAAAAAGAAAGAGGAAATTGTATGCTTCTACGAAACATTAGGACCCCGATAAATTACCAGTATATGTGGAATACTGTTTATTCCATTCCATAAATATTTTTCGCATTATTAATGTTATTCCTTAGAAACGGAAAATATAATGTATAGGTATGAACTGGTCAAAAAGATGCTTCATTGGACATTGATATATTATAAGTATGTCATATGCTCAAAAACCTTTATCAGAAGCATATAATTTATATTGAGTTTCTATCAATAATTTATGAAAATACAAATAAATAAATATCATGTTATTCACACTTAGAGACAGAAACTCAATACCTATTTCTGAGAACTATATTATATTACAACGTATGTCTACTAATGTTTTATTACAGGTCAAATGTAACTTATTAACTAGAGTAAAGCCATTTCGCACAATGTATATTAGGTAAACAATTTATCAGACATTTATGCCCGCCAAAGCTACATCGTTTGCCACACACGCCCCTACACATTAATATTTAGCTTATGAGTTGTCTCCAAACAGTGCCTCCGCAAATTTTGCCTTTCGAATTCGGTGAGGAACCGGCGAACGCCGGAGACATGGCTTCGGTCACATGCGCCATAAACAAAGGTGACCAGCCTTTAAACATCACATGGACTCACGATGGACAATTGCTTAGAAGAAATAACGATATGGGAATCGTCATAACTAGTATCAACAGGAAAACGTCTATACTCAACATTGATTCCGTCGACGGAATACACAGGGGCGAATATCATTGTGTGGCGACGAACGCGGCCGGCTCCTCCAATCATAGCGCTATACTCAAAGTCAACGGTACATAACCGTACTTTTTCTAGCAACTTTAGTGATGTTCAGCTTTATATCGATTCATTGTAATTTTATTTAGTCCCACCACAAATTACCCCATTCGAGTTCGGTGAAGAGATTCTAAACGAAGGCGAAACGGCGTCTGTGTCTTGCGTGATGAGCAAGGGAGATCTGCCCGTAACTTTCAAATGGCGTTTTAACGGAGAAGAAATCAAACCGCGGAATAATCTCGGCATCGTATTGACGACTATCAGCAAGAAAACTTCTATACTGAATATCGAAGCCGTAACTTCAGTCCACCGGGGATCGTTTACGTGTGAAATAAAAAATGATGCCGGAGAAACTAACCATACCACGATCCTTAGTGTCAATGGTTCGCTTCAATCTTGGTTTATTTTGTTTTAGTGACGCTTTTTATGTTAATACAGTTCCTCCCCAAATTTCACCTTTCGAATTCGGCGATGAGCCGGCCAACGCTGGGGACACTGCGTCCGTCCAATGCGTCATGAATAAAGGCGATTTGCCAGCAAACTTTTCATGGAGTTTCAATGGGAAGATTATATCCAAAAGCAACACTATGGGCATCGCCATCGGCAGTATGAGCCGAAAAATGTCCATACTCAACATAGACTCTGTCAATGGCACCCACAGAGGAGTATACGCATGTCACGTAGAGAATTTTGCTGGCCAAGTCAATCACAGCGCTACGTTGGAAGTTAATGGTTCTTTTGATACGTTTATATGTAGATTCAATGATAGATTTATTTATTTGCTTGTGTCTTATGGTAATGTGATGTCACAGTTTTGCCACAAATCCATCCTTTCACCTTTGGGGAGGAGCCAGCCAATGCGGGAGACACCGTCGGTGTTCAGTGCATGGTCACTAAGGGAAATACTCCCGTTAATATCACATGGTTATTGAATGGAAAACCGGTCGGTGATATGCAGGGAATCACTGTCACAAAGATTGGACATAAATCGAGCAGTTTGTCGATCGATGCGGTCGTATCGGCACATTCAGGCGTTTACACTTGTTCTGCGTCAAACCAAGCTGGCTTTGCTAATTACTCATCTGAATTGGTAGTGAACGGTAATTCGAATAATAGAACATAATCGCTATTATGCTTTCTACCTTCTCGTATGTACCTAAGCGTTGCATTTAGTTTTCCCAATGTCCTTAAATTTATTGTTAATTAAGTTCCTATTCGATAAACAAAACAGGTGACATTAGAAAATTGTTACTGCACACTACACAAATTCATCCTTAAACAATTAATAATGAAAAATTGTTTTATAGTTGTACCTCAGGTTACGCCTTTCGATTTTGGTGAAGATTTCCTTAATGCAGGCGATACGGTTTCGCTGACTTGTACTGTCGGTAAAGGCGATTTGCCTTTAAAAATCCATTGGCAGCTAAATAATCAACCTCTGAATTCGGGAAACGGTGTTTTCATTAACAGAAATGGGAAAAGGATTTCTGTTTTAAGTATAGAGAATGTCCAACACGACCACATTGGAAATTACACGTGTATAGCTGAAAATGATGCAGGCAGCACTAGCCATAGCGCAGTTCTCAACGTTAACGGTATAAAATACTGAAGCATCCTGTAAAATCATCTATTTTTTTTTTTATTTCTCAGCACGTTTTTTGTAATAAATTATAGTTATAACAACTACATATGCATATTTTATGTTATCCTTTCCTGTTCCTACCCTAATGGGTCGATCTCGTGTGTGGCAAATAAATAAATGGCGCTATATTTGTATTACACATAGTTCAATTCTTTTATTTTTATGCCTAGCTTCAATATCAAACGTAAATAATACTTTCGCATATCTTTAGTTGCACCGCAAATTATGCCTTTCGATTTCGGCACCGATCCCGTAAACGACCAAGAGATGGTGGTAGCTATATGTACAGTCAGTAAGGGTGACCTGCCTTTGGACATACATTGGTACTTTAATGGAAATGTTATTAAATCTGGAACTAACGGAGTTGTACTAACGAACACGAAGCGCACCAGTCAGCTAACCATAGAATCCGTAACACACCACAATCAAGGAAAATATTCGTGTGTTGTAAAAAATCAAGCGGGCACTACAAATCACACCTCCGAACTCTATGTCAACGGTATCAAATATCAATGTGGACCTTTCTTTTTGTAATTTCATGTAGTTCTATGCTTTCGCTTACTCCAGTTTCCACTTTAGTTCCTCCGCAGATAATGCCCTTTGAATTCGGCGAAGAGCCTGTTAATGCACAAGAAATGGTTTTGGTCACTTGTACAGTCACTAAGGGAGATCTGCCATTGACAATAGAATGGTATTTCAACAATAGCCTGGTTAAGTCCGGTAGCAATGGAATTAATTTAGTGAACACCAAACGTACAAGTCAACTAAGTATAGAATCTGTCACTCATCAAAATCAAGGAAATTTTACGTGCGTAGTTAAAAATCAAGCCGGTGTTATAAACCATACTGCAGAATTATTCGTTAATGGTATAAAAATCAACCCTCTTTCATTTAATATTTTTGATTATTAGAAATAGTGCATGTCTTAAAAATGCTGATCACCTTGTCCTTGTTTTGCGGTTGTAACTTTGGCGGGTCATAATGGTACAGCAAGAAGAGGGACATTTCAAAATTATGAAAAATGATAACAATGAAACAAGCATACAGGTAATATAATCACGCATTTCAGTGGCTCCAATAATTACTCCTTTTGAATTCGACGAGTCTGTATTTTTTGGAGAAGGCGTTCAAGTGATGTGCCATGTTCCAAAAGGAGATAAACCCTTGGTATTCCAATGGAGTTTTAGTGGTGGAGACGTGAGTTCATTAGCCGGGGTCAACATCATGCGGGTTGGGGATAGGGGGTCAGCGCTCATAATACCTACTGTGACAGCCAAACATTCGGGCAATTACACATGCACAGCCTCCAATGTTGTCGCCAATGCTAATCATCATGCCACGCTCAATGTTAAGGGTGAATAACAGCGCTTTATCGTCTCCCGCTCTGCACTCCTTTAATATATTCCAGTTCTAAGTATACGTGTATTCAGTATACCTGATCATATATTTCAGTGTCGCCATTAATATCTCCTTTCGAGTTTGATGAAGCTGTATTTTATGGGGAAAGCATACAAGTTATGTGCCATATTCCTAAGGGCGATATGCCATTGAATCTTACATGGTCATTTCGTGGCCAACCTTTAAGTAAAAATGCTGCCGTTAAAATAACAGCATTAGGCGACAGAAGTTCTGTATTAGCTATACCTGCCGCTACTGAAAAACATTCCGGAAATTACACCTGCACAGCTTCCAATATCGTAGCCAGCACCAACCACACAGCCGTTTTAAACGTTCAGGGTACACTTAAGTACTTATTTGTTTTGCGTCTTCATAGATTTTAGTTTTTTATTGAATTTTTTACCCTTACCAGTTCCTCCGCACATCGTACCTTTCGAGGCTGAAGAGTCAGTTTTTGCTGGAGAATCTGTTCAGTTGACTTGTCATATATCCAAGGGCGATGCACCTCTTACAATCACATGGAGTCTCCACGGAGAAGAGTCTTCTTCTCATAAAGGGATCACCACAATGAAGATCGGCGAAAGAACGTCGTTGCTTACTATAGCGAGTGCCACAGCTAGTCATAGTGGCGAATATACTTGTCATGCTTCAAATCATGCCGGCACTGTGGTTCACTCCACCATAATTAATGTCCATGGTATTTTTCCCTCTTCGTTAACAATTATCCTATGTTAAATAATATATGCCTTTATCGCACGCTGCACGCTTGCCTCAGTAATATTTTGGCTTTCTGGATTAACAGTATTGCCATACATCGTTCCATTCGAAGCGGATGAGTCGGTGTTTGCTGGTGAATCAGTACAGCTCAACTGTCACGTGTCGAAGGGCGATTTGCCTCTTGATATAAAATGGCACTTTGAAGGATTTGGAAACAGCTCATCGCATCTTGGCATAATGACAACCAAAATGACATCACGTACCTCATTCTTATCTATCGGCGCTGCGTCTGCTGATCATAGTGGCAACTACACCTGTGTCGCTTCTAACCAAGCCGGTTCTACTAATCATTCCACTGCCCTTAATGTTCATGGTCAGTTTATTATCCATCATCTCATTATATTTTTTTTTCGTTTTTCACACTAGCAGGGATTCGATGCAAATAGATATGTAAATAGAAAAGCATGAAATTCTGTTTACAAATCTTTAGGCAACGTACGCTTAGGATTTTTTTTATTTATTCATATTTCTTTGTTTTGTCTGCATATAATTTTATTTATTTTGTACACAGTTACACCAAACAGTTTACCATTCGACATAGATCAAGTCTTATTATAAAAACATTAGAAATGCTTGTTCGTTAAACCACCTTTAAATATGTCGTTTAAATTATAGTCGTAATTAAAATGGCCATGTATTGGCAAGTCAACTGGGAGTATTACCCAAAGTCGCTACAATTATAGTGTTGTCATACGTTGTAAGCATCGTGGAAAACATGTGTACTTCGCAGAAAAACTCCTCAACATAACTTCATATACAATAGTCTGTCGACTTGTATAAAATTGTTATCTCATTTATTAGACAGAAGTATAAAAAGTACCTCTGTGTCAAATTTTGATCGTATCTTATCTTTAATCCGTATTGAAGTGGTTCCACACATAATCCCGTTTGAAGTCGAAGAATCCATTTTTGCTGGGGAATCAGTTCACCTCACATGCCATGTATCAAAAGGAGATCGCCCACTTCAAATAACATGGAGTTTCCAAGGAAACGAAATACCGTATCACAACAATATGGGCATCACTACCACCAAACTAGGTGATAAAGCTTCGGTGCTTAGCATTCCAACAGCGATGGGCCACCACAGTGGAAACTACACATGCACTGCCAGTAACCGCGCGGGCCGTGCTCATCACTCTGCTCTCGTCAACATCCATGGTATTCGTGCCCGCCCCCTACATCCTAATATAGCAATTGTCTACTTTAATGATGTATAGAATGCACGATTAGATATTGTTTAGAATTCACTATTTATTTCTTTTCTGATTAGTTCCTCCCCATATAATGCCGTTCGAAATTGAAGAATCTATATATTATGGCGAATCAGTTCAAATGACATGCCATGCCAGTAAAGGAGACCGTCCCATGTCTATCACGTGGACTTTCGAAGGCCAAAACCTTTCAAATAGACAGGATTCCGGAATCAAAACAATGAAAATGGCTGAACAAACTTCATTCTTAAGTATAGCGTCGGTCACTGGAGCTCATAGTGGAAATTATACATGTATTGCAAAAAATAAAGCAGGAGAGGATAGATATACTACTGCTCTACATATTAAGGGTATTCCTTATTTAGAATTTACCGCATGTTTACGTTAATCTCACTAACTTAGACAATTTTATGTTGCTCAGTCGTCCCACATATCAAACCTTTCGAATTGGACGAAGCTGTATTCGCGGGAGAGTCAGTACATCTTGATTGCCACGTACCTAAAGGAGACCTGCCTTTGAATATAACTTGGAGTTTTCAAGGTCAAAGCCTGAAACATATAGTTGGATTAAAGACAATGGCCCTTAGTGGACGGGTATCTGTTCTTGATATTCCCAACGCCATGGGTCAAAATAGTGGCAACTATACATGCACAGCCACGAACAAGGCGGGTACTGCGAGTCATACTGCTATTCTCAACGTTATTGGTACACAAATTCTATATATCGGATGATGCTTGCTTTTTCTTCAGTTCCTCCTGTGGTCCAACCCTTCTCGTTTGGGGAAGTCGCATTGAATTCTGGGCAAGTTGTCACGACCCCTTGCTCCGTTATCGAAGGCGATCACCCCTTAAAATTACGATGGCTCTTTGACGGTGAACCTATCAAGCCGAGGTCTGGTGCCACCGTTTTTAATATCGGCGAAAGAAGCGCTATCCTTAGTATTGGTTCGGTAGAACATAACCATGCAGGAAACTACACTTGTATCGCGGAAAACGAGGCCGGAACCGATTCCCATACCGCAACTTTAATAATTAACGGTGCTTATAACCATTTATATTAGTGCACTTGTAAGACTTTGAATTCATATTTTATTATTAAGTATGCTCATATTTTCCAATTCAGTTTTCTATTGTATAAATAATATTCCAGTTCCCCCAAACATACTTCCTTTCACCTTTGGCGAAAAACCAGCAAATTTCGGAGAATATTTACAAGCTTCGTGCACTATCAACTTAGGAGATCTCCCTCTTACAATAAACTGGATGTTTAACGGTCAACCTATCTCACAGAGGAATAATAATTATATACTAACTAATTCAAGAAGAAGTAGCTTACTTATGATTGAATCGGTGGACGCGAAACACGCCGGTTCTTATACATGTATCGGAGAAAATCGAGCAGGGCGTAGTTCTTTTTCATCCGATCTCGTGGTTTACGGTTAGTCCTTATTTATTTGATAGAAATCTTTTTTTTACATCTAGTCACATTTTGTTTCAGTTGTTCCCAAAGTAGCTCCCTTTACAGCTGGCCCCGAACCAGCATTTCTTGGGGATTACTTTGCTCTCCAGTGTATTATTACCCACGGCGATCAACCAGTACGCATTGAATGGACAATCAATAATCAAACCGCCAATTCTGTCCCCGGCACCCGAGTCAGTAATAATGACAGAAGAAGTAGCGTGCTTACTATAGAATCACTAGAAGCAAAACACGCCGGCCTTTATAATTGTACTGCGACTAATGTAGCTGGTGTCGCATCGCACACTACAGAATTAGTTGTGAAGGGTGCGAGTAACAGAAATATATTCCTTCATATTGCTTCTAATCATAACTCTTAACGTGTTCGGCGCCTGAATGTTATCGTTTCTTTATTTCAAAAATTTATTATCCCAGTTCCACCACTGATTGTGCCGTTCAATTTTGGTGAGACACCATCCAACCCGGGCGACGCGGTGGTCGTAAACTGCGTCGCTACAAAAGGGGACCTGCCTCTAGACATCTCGTGGACATTCAGCAGTGAAACTATAGACTCAAGTCAACATCGAGACATAACGACGTTGCCTCTAGGCCCGCGTGCATCGGTGCTTTCAATCAACTCTGTGAGCGCAAACCATCAGGGCAACTATACGTGCATCGTTCAAAACGCGGCCGGCCGCGCAGAGTATGCAGCAACACTCGTCGTTAATGGCACGTTTTTATCTAAAAAATTAATGCGACCTGAGTCGGGGACTAACACCACAAAATCGCACTATATGATCAATTAACTTGTTCACCGTCACAACTCTTCACAATCTCGCCAGTCGCTAACATTGCCTGATGCCAAAACCAGATCTAACCCTTCTTTCTATGGTTGTTTCCAGTAATACCTCGTATTGTTCCATTCTCATTCGAGACTCCGCTGTTCGCGGGGCAGGCAACTCAAGTTACTTGTTTAGTGTCCGAGGGTGATCTACCCTTGGAAATTCAGTGGTACTTTGAAGGAAAGCCTTTGAAGGAGAAAGCCGGTGTGTCGGCTACTAAAATAGTACAAAGAGCATCATTGCTACTGATCGACCCAGCTGGGTGGTCACACAGCGGGGCTTACATGTGTCTCGCACGCAATGCCGCCGGCTCGTCCAACTATACTGCTTCGCTTGAAGTACATGGTATAATCACACGCATCTGTGTACCCTTCTCCTAGCACGGACGAGCTTTGCATAGTATAAATATTGTACGCTTAGAATCGTTACTCAAGGCAGTGTGCCGATACGAACTCGTCACTGTAAATCCAGACTTATGCCTCTTATACGCCTGTTTTACTTTCAATAAAAAAATTTGATCCCCTTAGTACACACACATAACTACTCAACACGGTGGGCAGAACATTGTCGAAGGTGTCGTTTCTATAGGAATCGGCTGCGGCTCTCATCGTTGAAACCATTTCCAATCCTCACTTTGGCAAATTATTTTCATACCTTCCTTTCCTCCTGGGATCCCGTCTTTATATTTTTTTTTTCCTTTTATTTATTTGCATTATTTTGTTCTGTATTATAGATGCTAAGCTTACTAACATCTATTAAATATTTGATGAAATATGAATATTGTTTTATTAATAATGGGATTGCCAAATCATGAATTGGCATAAATAATATATTTCATCAGATACTATCATGTGCTTTTCGTTGCATTTCGCTTCTCATTATTAGTTAATTTATCTATCTTGGTTTGCTTAGGAAATTATATTTTTGCCAATTGGAATTTATTCAAAATATGTTCGAAACTTCTATAGCAAGCTTTGCCTTAAAGCAATGTATTATATTTCCTTGAAAGATATTTTCTTCAATATCACATTAAGTGTAGCATCACCAGACTGAAAAAACAAAGTTATAGAGGCTTCTAAACATATTTATGTGTTAGCTGAACTTGATGTTATTGAAGAATAAAATGTTATTTAAAAACCAATATTTACTAGACACATATCTTCTAAAAAGGAAAAATATACCTAATTCCTTAATCAAGTTCAGTGTTACCAAAAATATTTTTATTATAGAAACAGCATTATTTGCCTGCATGCTTTATTGAAGAACAGCAAAATAGCTATACAGACTAAAGCATTCTTATTTTTGTGAGAGTAAATATTTACTAAAAAATGTAAATTCATATTGTAAATATTTTGAAATAAAGTTTTAAAAATTATAATATTTTAACTAATAAAAAATATCAATTTTAAAAGTCTGTTACCAAAGTTTTGAATGTTAGGCGCTTACGCTTTTCACAAAATATACCTGTAACAGATATTACAACAGATTATTATAATTTTAGTTCCCCCTCGTTGGATTCTGGAACCCACTGATAAAGCTTTTGCCCAAGGCTCTGATGCTAAAGTGGAATGTAAAGCCGATGGCTTCCCCAAGCCTCAAGTTACATGGAAAAGGGCTGAAGGTACTGTAGGGCTATATAAATATTTAAAAATTATAAGAAAAACTTAAAATTAAAATTCTTCACTCATTACTTATAGGGGAAACGCCTGGCGATTACAAAGACCTTAAACCAAACAATCCCAATGTAAAAGTTGAGGACGGAGCACTCACTATTGCGAATATTCAAAAGACGAACGAAGGTTATTATTTGTGCGAAGCTGTTAATGGAATTGGATCTGGATTATCTGCCGTTATAATGATCAGCGTACAAGGTGAAATTTCGTAAAATATAATTATAAAATTATAATCAACACAAAGTAATGTTTTAATGTGATAATATGTATATTGCAGCTCCACCACAATTCGAAATTAAAATGCGAAATCAAACTGCTCGTCGTAGTGAGCCAGCTGTACTGCAATGCCAAGCCAAAGGAGAAAAGGTATCATTGTGGTAAATCAGTTTAAAATTAACTTAAATACCTGTAAATAGTCATTAGAATTGATACATTGTTACAAATATTTATAGCCCATTGGCATCATATGGAACATGAACAACAAGCGTCTCGAACCAAAATCTGACCCACGATACACGATCCGTGAAGAAATTCTACCCGGAGGCGTTATTTCTGACCTAAGCATTAGAAGAACTGAGAGGTCTGACAGTGCACTTTTTACTTGCGTTGCTACCAACGCTTTCGGATCTGATGATACTAGCATCAACATGATAATTCAAGGTAAACTATATAATTTTATTATTGTTAGCAGGACATGTTTGATAATTTTAATCATTGTTATTTTTTCGATAAATATTTGCAGAGGTTCCTGAGGCTCCTTACGGCTTGAAAGTTTTGGATAAATCTGGAAGGACTGTTCAGCTATCTTGGGCGGCACCTTACGATGGAAACTCTCCTATCAAGAAGTTCCTTATTGAATACAAACGTGCAAAGGGCAACTGGGAAAAGGATATAGACAGGTGATGACATGTCAATTCAAGTCGATATAGTGGTACTTAATATTTTTTATATATTTACATCTAAGTAATAATCATTTTGTTGTAGGGTTCTCGTCCCTGGTGAATCTACAGAAGCTGGAGTATTCAGCCTCAGGCCTGCAACTGCTTATCACATTAGGATTGTCGCCGAAAACGAACTGGGTACTTCGGAACCTTCCGAAACAGTCACTATTATCACTGCCGAAGAAGCTCCAACTGGTCCACCCCAAGACGTCAAAGTTGATGCTATTGATAAACACGCTTTGAGAGTTACCTGGAAACCTCCCCCACCCCATGATTGGAATGGCGAACTCCAGGGGTATGTACGGTGTATTAGAATCTTTGGACTATGCCTATCTCCACCGCTTTTTAAAAGCATTCCTTTGACAAAGTCATCTGAATGTAACATTAATAGAATCATTAATTATTATAAGTCAAAATTTTCTAAAACATCATGTTTCTGAGGTACACGCTAGCAATGAATTTTGTTGGGTATCTTTAATACCTGAGAAACAAACGTTTAAAAAAATATATAATAATATTTTTAATACGAAATTTCAGACTTCTATACCCAAACCCATAGTTCGATACTGAAATCTTCTAACCCTATTATTTATTTTATTAAAATTATTTTTACTTTTGCCTAGATACTATGTCGGCTACAAACTAGCCTCGAGTAATAAGTCATTCGTATTTGAAACCGTTGATATCTCCAAGGAATCTGGCAAAGAACACCATCTAGACATACTTAATCTCAAGTAAGTAAAATAGTTGCATATATTTTCAGACATTATTATTAAATAAAACTTCTTTTAACGCGTTCATCGCTTGTATTTTATATCTCAATCCACTGAACACGAAACTGAACCGAATTTTTTCATAAACACGTGATAAAATCATTTCATTAAAAAAATATGGGTTCTATGAATATATTTTTAATTTTCCATTAGGACTTATACCCAATACGCTGTCGTCGTTCAAGCTTTCAATAAGATAGGATCAGGTCCAGTATCCGCTGAAGTGCGAGCTTATACCGCTGAAGGTGCTCCGTCAGCCCCTCCACAAGACGTACTTTGCACTACTCTCACTGCTCAAACCATTCGCGTTTCTTGGGTTTCTCCACCTCTTGCAGACGCCAATGGACTTATCAAAGCATACAAAGTAATTTATGGACCCAGCGAAACCTGGTACGGTACGTATCAAAGACTACGACACATTACGCTCACAATTGAAATTTAATCTATGTTATATACTTACATCGTACAATATTTATTGCAGATGAGAAGACTAAAGACACAAAAATCACGGCTAGCAGTGAAACTATCCTCCATGGCTTGAAGAAATACACTAACTATTCGATGGAGGTTCTTGCGACGACTAACGGAGGTGATGGCGTGCGATCAACCCCCATTCATTGCCAGACAGAACAGGATGGTAAAATCTTCGTAAGACTAATCTAGGATGGCTTCGTGACTTTGGTGATTACAACACTCAATTTCTTAATTATTTATACAGTCCCAGAAGCTCCACGTGCTGTGAAAGCTTTGGTGATGAGCCAAGACTCGATACTCGTTTCATGGAGGCCACCAGCGCAGCCCAACGGCGTTGTAACTCATTACAATGTTTACACTCAAGCTCAAAACGCGGAACCTCATCCCAACAAGGTATAAACAAAATTCGAAATGTTTCAAGAGAATTTTCTTACAACGCGAACCTATTTTGAAACTCTCAGATATTGCTCACATATGATATTTATATAGGTACCTGCATCTCAAACAAGTTATTCCGCAACTGATCTGAAACCTGGCCGCTACGATTTCTGGGTAACCGCGTCCACTATCATCGGTGAAGGTCAACCTTCAGCGACCGCTTCTTGCAGCCCTAGTGATAAAGGTACTACAACTTTTTCCTACATAAGTGATGATGATGAATGATTTATGAAAATGGCCACATGGATATATGAATAATTACGTTGCAGTACCTGCTAAAATTGCTTCATTCGACGAGTCGTTCACTGCTACTTACAAGGAAGATGTGAAACTACCTTGTCTCGCTGTCGGTGTACCTGCTCCTAACATTATTTGGAAGGTAGAATGCATTTCAAGTTGCTTTGTATGAATTGTCAAATAAGTTTAGACTTACCTGTGATGGAATTTGCAGGTTAAAGGTCAGCCTCTAGTACCATCGGAACGCGTTCGTCAATTGCCAGAAGGATCATTGCAGATAGCAGGAGTAGCGCGTGACGATGCCGGCGAATACTCTTGTCATGTCGACAATCAGTTTGGCACAGACACTGTCACACATACACTGTCCGTTCTAGGTGAGAATAACAATTATCATAATTTACCCTTTATTTATTAAATTTTTAGTTTATCGAAGATTTTTAGAGTAAACATTTCAAATCTATATAAACGACTATCTTATTTAAACTTAACTCACACATGTATAACTCAAAGATGAAGAATAGTAAAATAGAAATGTCAAAGGATGGCCTTTATTACGACGCCTACCTTGATAGCCGCATGTACTTAACAAAATATTTTATTATTGTTTAATAAATATTATACTTTTGAAAGGATTATATAGCCGTCTTCAACAGAGTTTTGCAAATTAGTATGTAAAATATACTAATATATAAACCTAAATGTAACATAATGATGTAATATACACAGATTATAATACAAGAAACTATATGAACACGAGAACTCGTTTAGGAAAATTTATGTACCGTATGATTGCAATTAATTGCATGTACGTGTTGAAATAGCTCCCCCGTTCCCGCCTCAGCTGACTGTTGCGTCATCGTCGGTATCATCGCTGACCATCCGTCTGAAACCCTCCGTGGACGCAGACCAATCACCAGCTGCTGGCTACACGATCCATTACAAACAAGAGTTCGGCGATTGGGAGACAATTCAAGTAAGTTCTTTTTACAAAAAAAGTATATATATAAATTGGCTACTTGCCTGTTTTGCGAAAAGCATTTTAAAACTGTCATATGGTATTAAACTACTATCAGATTTGTTTTTTCCAAAAAGTTGTCATTAAATAAAGAAAACATATTTTTATGCAAAAACAAAAACGTCACATTGATTCTTCTGTCAACAAAGAAGGTTAGTGTGTTGGAATATAATGTCACACCATACTAGGACACGGTTGCCCGCGTTTCGGTTGTAATCCACGGATTATAAATCGCAAGTACATTTTACAAAAATAAATATACTTACAATTTATTTTAAAAGAAAAAATACGTCATAATTATTGTATTATTGTATATAATATATAAATGGTAACATACAAGTTACCATTTATATATATATTTCATAATTTATTCTTATAACTTCAAGTAACTAATTAAGGCTTAATCAGAAATTTATCTATTTGCCGTATGTCGAATGCAACTTAAAAAATCTCAATGTCATTACTCGATAAACGGTCAGTTGTACAAACGTCAATTAAGGTTTAATGACGCCTTTAAGCTCTAATTAATGTCAAATGTTTTAAACTAATGAAAATGTTAATGGTCGTTTGTGCAACTGGCTGTTATTGTTTTGTTTATCGAACAGTGAATATCAACGGTCTTATAACTTTGAACTTATCCGTTATGGAACCTTTATACTGCCTTTAATTACTTATAGTAAAGAACAAACACTTGACTTAATTTGAATAATTTCCAGATACCAAGCAACACCGACACGTACACATTGGAGAGTTTGGTTTGCGGTACTAGATACCAGCTCTACGTTACGGCATACAATAGGTAATAATGAGACAATATTTTTTGATAAACGACTCCTAAATATTTTACCTCGACTATATAAAAATACAATCTTTAAATTAAAGTAACAGTTTTCTCTAAAAACAAAATACACGATTTTTATACATTAACAAATATGTGTTGATGTCTTAAAGCACTAAATACCAAATTACTATTATTATCTAGTTACTATGTAGTTTTATTTTATAGTTATTACTAATATATTTAGATAAATAATTATATTTGATACAATTTTTTTTACTTTATGGCCTTTTTTGGCCTATGGAAATGTAAAACGGCGAAAGTAGGGTTCAATGTGAAACCAAATCCCATACCTTAGTGGACATTCTACTTTAATTTGATATATATTTTATTGTATTTGTTGGAAATTTAAAGCATTGGTACTGGCGAGGCGTCAGACATGGTTGGTGCCCGAACTCGCGGTTCCAAACCTCCAGTTCCACGAGCAGCTGACTTCATCGAAGTGGCCAGCACATCAGTAACGTTACACTTCAAGCAATGGTTGGACGGCGGCTGCTCTATGAGCCATTTTGTCGTTGAAAACAAAAAGAAGTGAGAACCTTTCGGTTATATAATTTTAAACTCTCTGTTTACTTGAAAGAATAAATGCTATTCTGGACAATAACACCAGCTCAATGAAAATACGCATGTATAAATGTTTTCATTAAAAATGTTCTGGAAAAATAATCGAAACATAAACACCTTATCTGTTCTCAGGGGCGCTGTTGAATGGAACCAGATTTCTAATAACGTGAAGCCAGCTAGCAACTTTGTCGTTCTTGGTATGTAAAGTTTATTTTTGATTCCTTTAAAATCAAACAAGGAATGTACGTAATATATATCAGAATTGGTAAACATAATTTAAAAACAATATATATTACCTATTTAGATCTGGAACCTGCAACGTGGTACGTTTTGAGGATCACTGCACACAACAACGCAGGATTTAACGTAGCCGAATATGAAGTAGCAACTCTCACTGTTACTGGTGGTGAGTTTCATTATTTTCTCGTTTATTTAAAATTATTTGATCTTTCTCTCGACAATATTTCAGTCTCATATATATTGAACATTATTGAAATGAAATGAAATGGAAATGTTTTATTCAAGTAAGCTTGTTACAAGCACTTTTGAATCGTCCAAAAAATTTTTCCCCTACCACTTGTTCAAGACGTCTTAAGATAGGACACCATTATATTATTAATATTCAAATTAATTAGCAAGGTGGCAAGCACTAGTATTACAAAAACAATAAAAGTATCACAAACCGAGACAATTAATTATATTCTGGTTTCTAATCCCATCAATACCATTTAAAATGTACTCTTCTGCTTTGCCGGCGCTTTGGTACCTACTGTAAGCCAGCAACGACCAAATGAAAACGAAGCCAATGTAGAAGTAACGAGCTGTAGACTTGCAGAAGTTCTACGTCGAAAACAGAATTGCAATAATCAGACAAAATTCAGATATCGTTACAATGTTACAAAATTGGAACGATTATCACTATTTAATTCTTGGAGTATAGGCCCAGGAATGGAGCCTGGTACCGAGGCGATAATAATGGTGAGATCGTCGATAACATATAAAACATAATTTATTTCGTAATTTTGAAATACGCACATAAGCAATATTTTCAGCTCACAATTAACATTATTTTAATATAGCATATTATTTAATATCAATAAACTGTTCGATCAATAAAATCTATTACCATTTCAAGTTGTTCGGAAACACGATACAACTTAATGGTCCTTCGAGCCGGATTAGCGCAATGTTTAGTATGTAATATAATTTCACTGATTTCGTACAAATAAAATAAAAGTACCTGAAATGCATCGCCTCATTTTCCTTACATATCTTTACATCAGCTTTCACCTTTCGTTTTATACCAAATTTTTTAATGGCGACTTGCATTTCAGGTACAATTGCGCCCGCGCGCGAAGTCGGCGGAGGCTCATTGACCACAGAGCAGACTTTAAAGATCATCCTCTCTCATCTTAATCTGATCGTGCCAGTCGTCGCCGCTATACTAGTCATCATAATCGCCATAGTCGTCGTGTGCGTAGTACGAGGGGCACGAGATCATCACAAAGGTATTGTCCGTAGGAACCATCGCCCCATTACCAGGAAACGTTGATGATGACAAGGAATTGCCTCCGTGGGTGAAGGCTTGGCTCGAACCGGAAGTGCTGGTGCCGATATTGGCTACAATTGTTGTGTTCGTGGTGGGGGTGGTGGTCATCTGTCTCACTCTGGCCAGGAGGAATACTCCTCACCGGCTGCGAGGTCAGAAGGACCTGTACTGTATGTATGGCACGGCCCGCCGCTTTATTATCTTGTTTTATATCATTCGACACATTAGCTGTGAAATCAGAGACTAACCAAAAATATTGTCATTGGTTATTTTTATAAAAAAAAAAGGTTATTTTCTTCATATTTTACACTGATTACTATTTATATTTTAGATTTCCTCTTGAAAGAAACATAGAACTGATTAAATAATTATATGTACGACGAAAATGTTTTTGGTTTGTAACCATATTCTTATAATTAATATTCGATGTATCATGAACTGCATCATGTCCTGTCTCACTATAGTCATTGAAAATTACGTGAATTAAATTAGCAAGCGACAAAACAGTTTACAATATATCGAATGTCAATTTTAGGAATACGGTCACTCATATATTACTTTTGGATCAAAATTCATTGTTTGCTATTTTTTGCATAAACCACTTTTAGTGATACAATGAGGAAGTATTTAAAAAAAAAAAATTAGTTCCCGAATCAAACTAGAAGTGGCTACTAGATATCGGTTTTCTTTCATGTTCAAAAGTAAATTAGTTTTCAAAACTCAATAAACAACTCATATTCTATTTGTACTTCTTCGTATTTGTATTGATATCTAAGTTTCGAATTTTTGAAATTTCAGTTTTTTAATATGTTAGTTAAAAGAAACGGAAATGACTGTCTTTGTCCATTCGTTTCTTGCAAAAATCAACTTTTGCTAGAATCGCCATCTAGTGGAGGTGCTTTTTTAGTGCTTTCGTTTTTTTTTTAAATACTTCCTCATTGTTTATCATTATTTCAAATTGTTGTTAATAACTCATACGTGTTTCTATACAAAAATCTGGACTAGAAGACTTACTTTGTAGGTTGTATTAGAATTGCAAAATTGACGATTTTGGTTTATCTACTACACAATATCTAACTAGCTTCAGAATCGATACATATCTGGCGTATGATGCGTCTCGTAACTATCGTCGTGAAACGTCAGAACTGACAAATATGATATGACATTCAAACTTAAACCCTCGACAGATGATCCGTGCGAATTAACGCATACTTCTGTTAGTTGCTTGACGGATCTTCCGTCAGATTTGCACCAATCCTTACGGGTCATTTGTTTGTCCGGTAAACAAATATAATAAGAGTTCCAATTAAAATAAATAAATTGTTATCATTAAATAAATAGGTACAGAACTGGACATAAAAGTGAAACGTCACATGTCCTTTATATGAAAATATTTCTTTACCATGTTTTTTTGTGAAAATAAAATCATCCAATCAGAAAATTAGCACCTTCTATTGATATTCAATGTGAAATCATAACGTCCCAAGTTTAAACTTAATGGAACAGCTCTTCCCAATAATAATATCTGGAAGCAACTTTTAAAATATTGTATGCTTCAATAAAACTGGTTAGACAGATAAATTTCGCGTTGATAATAGAAGATAGAATAACATTTGTGTTATGACAGATGATGCCGTATACAACGCGTCTCAAGCGGCACTCGGCGGCGGCGGTGGAACATTGGACAAACGCGGCGGTCTACGCGACGAACTCGGATACATCGCACCGCCTAACAGGAAACTACCCCCCGTACCAGGATCCAACTATAACACATGCGATCGCGTCAAACGGCAGGCCGTTATCAGTGAGTACAAGAACAGCTGGATGGGAAGTTCGTATTATTTTCAGATAAATTAAGCAGTTCTATGAAGCAGCTACATATACATCACCATGCTAATATTGACTATAAGCTACATAACACGGTAACGGAACGGCGTTGTTCAGCGCCTGCATCGCGCTTATAAAGATTCTGAAACTTAACGTATATACAGGTTCCTACGTTAGGTATATGGTGGGACAGTGGATAAGTCGTGGCTGAGATCTGAGAGAGACAATTTCCTTTTAGTCTCCAGTAATGCCACTACTCACAGGACCATCTCTTTGGACTTTAAAACCTAAGCCCGTAGATGAAGATGAAACAGGCTCAGACAGATGTTAGAAGCCTTGACAAAGGAAGAAGGTTTAGAGAAGGAAAATCGTGATACGTTTTGGCTACAATTTTGTAGTCATTTGGGTCATTTCAGATTTGGTAGGAAGCTAGTTCGGCACCGAAGGACAACTGAACGTCGTTTATCAGGCATGGAGATTTACATTTTCTCCTCTTTATCTATCACTTTCTTAAGTTATTATCATAAATGCTTTGTTTGCACGGCCCTCATATTAATGCACATTTCCTTTATTATATGTTCTAGATTTTAGTGGTGAAGGCAAAGTTTTAATGAAAACCCTTATCTGCTCGAGTATTCGTTTAAGGCTAAATTCTTAAAAATATTATTCTTTAGCTTAATTATTTTGTCCATACATTGTTTCTGTTTATATCCGGTAAAACTTAAACCACTATATTATCCTAGAAGTTTTGTCGTGATATAAACGCCTATTTGTTTCTCGTAGATGTGTTGTTACGATGCTTTCTTTCAGTTGTCGAATCACGCAATGTCAGAACACTTAAATCTCGTCTATATGCGACATATTATATCAGAAATACGCGTTTCCTTATATCAAAGGATTCTATCACTAAAATCATGATTAAAACTAATATGAAATTTGATGAATCCTTGTTACATTTATGGAAAACTATAATGCTAAACAAAATGTGATATGACATTAGTGAAGCAGGACACGATCTGATGGGAGGGGAGTCAGGTCATTGCCATAAATAAATCAAGGGCGTCGCGCAATGAGGAAGTATTTAAAAATAATATAGTTATTCTTGATGAAAAACGCTTAAAAATCCACTTTATCCGTGGCACTCTGAGATGGAGTTCGAACCCATGATCTTTCACAATCCGGGCGACTGCTCTAACCGTCTATTTTTAAGTCTTCGTGTTTTGTTTAAATATCTAAGTTGAAAGTAGTTGAAACAACAGTTTAACTTTCTCTTAAACGTAAAATTCACTTATTTATTAGGTTACATGAAAAGTAACAGAAATTACTGTCATTGCTTCATTTTGATGTCATAATTTCCGGTCAACAATAGTGTCGCCAATCGCCATCTAGTACATTAATTTAGTTAAATACTTCCTTATTGGTGATGTGGAAAAGGCATCGCATATCGTTTTCGCACTGAGTGGCTAAACATCCAGATCGGGCCCTGTAGTGAATCGACAACTGAGAGCTAGGTGACGTGCGTATCGCATGCGTAACGCAGTAGTATATGGTTCAGTGGGCGCGCACTCGACGTGGGATCCACGGAGACATCACTACGAACGCGTGCGCAGGCCGCGCATGCGCCGCGCGGGATCCGGTGACACAGTCTCTATAGGTTAGTGCTTGCGTCTTGGGTGTAATAGTTCGCAACTGAAATAGAACGAATTAGTTCGCAACTCCTAATCGAACTAGTTCGCAGCTCCGAAACGAACTAATTCGCTCTTGTAGTTCGTGAGTTCGTTTAGATTTTTAGCAAACAGCAGGAGCAGTTTTAAAACGAGCGAAAGATCTGCTTTATATTGAATTATTTTAAGGCAGTTCGTTCGTTCGTTTTGATACTGCTCCTTTCTGTTGTGACAAGATAATTGAACATTGTATATTTACATAAAATTTTTGGTCACAAAATAATCATATGAACTTAATATATATAAAATATATTTTTAACGTAAATAATTTGGTTGATTGTTTAGGCAGTTAAAGTATTTTTAACGAGACGACAATAGCTTCATTAGGTCGACTTCACCTCTACTCATTCTTTCACGAACTAACGAAATACGGAACGGGAAATGTGCGAACTAGTTCACGTAGTTTGTCTGTGGAAGCCAGTTTTTCGAACCAGTTCGTTCACGAACTACACAAGACTTTTAGTGCTTCGCTTGGATGCTTCACGCTTTGTGCTCCAGTATCTAAACTTCAAATTTGGATACACCGAACTAGTGAACGATAAACCATTAATGCGTGTCCACAGAGGGGCGTTTTAAAAATATTATGAACAACTGAATGTTAACATTTTCCTTAAATTTGGAAATTGAAGAAAGCATTTTATAATATCAGTTTATCAAAGTATTTTTAGTTTAATAAACACAATTAAAAGTTTGCAAAATTACTTGAAAAACAATCCGGCTCTGTATCTTAAGCCGGTCTCGAACTGAGCTGCCAAAGATCTAAAGAAAATGACGGTTTTTTTTAGTACTTGTAACAATACAATATTTACAATAATAATAGATTTTCTTTATACCCCATGTGGACATGCCGTCAGTACCCGAGCATGATTTAAAATTATTTATCATATCGTTCATGGATCGGCAATAATCTACAAGCGTTACCTCGACAACTTCAGAGGGACTGACTTAAGTTATTGTTTATTTATTAGACTTTGTTATAAAGAGAAAATCATATTCACCATGTTGTTGTCCTGGTTTAAGTAGATAGGTACAAACTTCAGTGCTGTATTTACCATAGGATAAAGTGTGCCACTAACTCTGCCTGGGAATTTGTAAGTATATTAATATAACGCTTGTTTCTCTAACCCCGAGTTTTATTATTTTGCATATTTATTTATGTTTTTAAGCATATTATGTAAGATAATGATTTTTGAATTTTCAGTCTAGTTCTAATATTGTCGTTGAGTTACTAACTGCAAGTTTTGATGAAATAAAATATAATAACCTACACTCTGTACGGTATAATTTTTTTATTGATTGATTGTAAATATAACGCCACGCATGCAAGGAAAAGGAAGATCCTGTCTTCCTAACATAAAATACCTACATACTTAACTACTAACTTAAAAACCTTAACTGGAGGCTATAACGATTGGCTATGAAGGATGTAGACTCATGGTACGTCAATGTAAAGCTTATTGAATATAGGTAATAGGTATATCTAATAATTCATGACATAAACTTGTTGCAATCTTTATTTTTAGGTTTTCAGTTAGACTAAAGAAGTTTTAATTTTGTTCAATGTTAATTATAACATTCAATAAATAAAAGTTGAAATATTTACGAATACGCCAAAGGATTAAAATGATCATTATATAAAGGAATAACAAACAGCCATTTAAAGACTATTTGATCAAACAATATTGGTAAAATTGATTAGGCCAAATCAGTTATATAATCTTCAAATTATGTATGATTAAAAATATTGTTTATCGATTCCGATATGTACTATTGAGTCGCTACTCACTGCACTTTCCGAAGAATAATTTCTCTCAATATTAGATTAAGTGTCTTCATTATCGCGTAGGTATGGAAGACGAGATCTGCCCGTATGCCACGTTCCACCTGCTCGGCTTCCGTGAAGAAATGGACCCGAGTAAGGCGCTCGCGTTCCCCCACCACCATGCCGCGCACGCGGGCACTCTCGCTCATCCCCACCCGCATCATCCCGCACATTCCCGCGCCGGTTCGCAGAGTATGGTCAGTATTGAATCAGTTATATTAATCTATATCAAAATTTATTAAACAACATCACATACATTGCTCAGATTCCAAGGTGAGAAGCTAAAGCCCTGTATTATGGAGTATTTGAGACAACAAAGTTACCACAACACCCAGACCCGAGACAATATAGAAAAGTTCATTTTCTACAATGACCCGAACGGGAATCAAACTCGGGACCTCAGAGATGGCGACACCTTGAAACCGGTGTACGAACCACTCTGTCGAAAATTAATAATTTGTTGTAAAGTAAATAGATAAGTAAATAAAATTTACTGTTATATAGAGAAAGAAATCTTACTTCTTACTAGTGTCCGACCGAAGCTTCGGCTTCGGCTTCGGCATCGGGCACCTTCGGCCAAAAAAACCATCTTCGGCGAAACGTTTCGCCGAAGGTCCGAGCTACCGTCGAGATTGAATGAACTGTTTCGAAAACTGAGTGAGAGAACGATGGACCGGTCGTGTTGGCAGAGGCCGCGGGGAGTCAGGGCGCTTGTGCACTACAATGAATTTTCAGGGCCGGCGGGCCGACTTTTTCCGGTCCCGAATGACATGAAAAACTCGGATGAGTAGCTTGTGCACATGTCCGTTTTTTCCGGATCGGAGCGGCACATTTTAGGGTAGCTCTCTGTGAAGCTACACGTCACTTACAATAGGCACGATGAGATTTTTGAAACGTTGGTAATTGCTTGCTCTATTACTGTACGTGCGAAGACGTAGAAGACAGGAAAAATATTCCTGGCACAGGCTAGCATTACCTACATATGGCCTGACATATAAGGCCGGAAAAAATCGGACCGCCGGACATGAAAATTCAGTGTAGTGCACAAGCGCCTTCACTGTCAAATCTGTATTTCTAAATCAACTTCTATATGAGACAGTCAATATAACCTTCAATATTGAAGTTTTGAAATAATTTTAATATTAATTGTAGCTTGTAGACAATATTGAACAAAATTAATTACTGAGAAATTATAAACCATCGGCTTCGGCTTCGGCTTCGGCTTTTGCCGAAGGTTGTGGCGATTGCCGATTAATCGGCTTCGGCTTCGGCCAAAAATAGACCTTCGGTCGGACACTACTTCTTACTAATATTATAAAGGCGAAAATTTGTAAATTTGGATGTTTGTTACTTCTTCAAGCAAAAACTACGGAACGGATTTTAATGGAATTTGATATACGAATAATTCTAAGCCTGGATTACCTATATATTATAGGCTGCCATTTATGTCGCTAAACAGAACCTAAAAACCACGCGGGCGAAGACCGCTGGCGGAAAGCAAGTTTATACATAAAGTAGGTAATGTGTCATACGTACGAGTATTATATCTGTGAATATATGTATATGTAGCAATAAGACAATGTGTTCACATAATAATAAAAAATAACCCTTACCCAAAATTAAATAACCGGAATAAAAAATATGTTGAAAAGCTTCTATTGACATTTCATATATAGCGGACTGTTTTGTCATCTGTACTACTTCAACATACATATTTATGCTGTAGAGTTGGTTTAGTGATGAACCACAATATACCGAAAATGGTTTTGGAATTATGCATGGAAGTTTGACAGTTCCGAGTACAAATTTATTTTACAGTAGCGATACGTCAGCGGCTTCGCCCGCGTGGGCCCTAGTGAATTATTTATTTGGGTAGCATTTCATATCATGACACGGATATAATAACAATGACAAATTAAATAGTAAACAATGGTTACTATGGTAACATTTTAATTCCCTATACAAACATCCACTCCAATTTTCATCCATTCATTTGCTGTTTTTCGGAATAAAATATAGCCTATATTTCCCATAGGTGGAAGAATTTTTAAATTCGGTCCAGTAGTTTTAGAGCCTAATCGATGTAAACAAACAGACATACAAACAATCAAATCTTTCCTTATTATAATATTTATTTTATATATTTCAGCCCCGCGCCAACAGCCGATACGCTCGCAAGAACTCGCAAGGCGGACAAAGCGCTATCTACTCCACTGCTCCCGAATACGACGACCCGGCTACGTGTGCTGAAGAGGATCAATATGTGAGTATATTCACACAGTCTACCACAATATATTCCCACCAACACGCATTCAACAGATGGTTCACTTTTAAGTTCGAAATAGTTGTAGTACTGTGACACTCCTATTTGAAACACAAAGCTCTAGTTTGTCAAAATTTAGTAATAGAAAAAAAGTCTTCGTACAGAATTTGATTCTAAGACTAGGCTACTAGGCTTTTATATAGTTTTGATCTCATCATCATCAGCCTTATTACGTTCCCAGTGCAGGGACTCAAGCATCCTTATGGATGATTAAGGTTGATGGGTCATGACCCTCCACGTGGGCTCTATGCGGATTGGTGGGTATTAACGACTACAGATGCAGCCGGGACCAACAGCTTATCCTGCCATCCTAAGCACGGTTTAGCTCGAGATAATATTTTTTTTAAACATGCTTAACAACAATGATCGCAGCCCGCGGCGCTTATACACTACGCCAAAAAGCTACTCAGTTTTTATCTACCTGAATTGAAATACAGTGACTTCGTTAGGCATGGGCAATAATAATATGACCTCATGCCGACCGCTTTACGCTAAAATGAGCTCCGTGAGGTAAAACAAGTAAGATAATATGATCACAATAATGAATACTGTTTTCTAAAATTCTATTTCTGCTATCATAAAATGCTAGATCATATATTAAACTTTGTTTTTTTTTTATTAACATATATTAGCACATCACTAGAATAAAACTTGTTCATAATAGGTAAATTGATCTCTGAATTATTCTCCTTATTAATTAAATATTTTATAATCAGCGTGCCCGCTATTCCCGACCAATGTATGCGTGCGGTCCCGAGTACGATGAGCCGGCTTGTTGCGCGCCCGAAGACGAACAGTACACCGGCGCTTACGGCACCCCATACTCCGATCACTATGGCTCCCGACCAAGCATTGGTGAGCGAATACACTATTAATATGGAACTTTATGGGTTCCTTTCGATGACGTCAGTAGATGATACTAGTTTATGCATGAAAATATTGATTGCCACTTCTTGTTATGGCTGTTTTACACATGGTTAAGTGGGCTTGGCTTTTCTTCATTACAACAACGCGTTGAGGCCGAATAACATGTTAACCACGACGCGGATTTCGCTATATGCCACAACGCGTTGTAAATTATTTTTTCGAAAATATATGCTGATTCAGTTGATAAACTTTTATTGTCGTGTTACGATTCAGGAACACGCAAGTGCGGCGGATCCCCCGAGCCTCCCCCACCTCCCCCCCGCAACGCTAACAACGACAACAACTGCTCATCCTCCTTCAACGAGAGCAAGGACTCCAACGAAATATCCGAAGCCGAATGCGACCAACCGCGTAACTATCCCGGTACGTAATACATTGCTCTGACCATCATCCAACATGTTAAGTTCATTGAATTATTTGTTAGCTACCTATGATATCATTATTACTATAGTGGTAAAACGCAATCCAGTTTTTTTTTTTAATGAGACAATCCAAATATCAAACAGTAAACTTCCGCTTAAAACGAAAATTAAACGTTTTCAGATAATAAAATCTAGTAACAATAATTTTAATTAGGCACTTCACTACACGACTCGCATCTATACCCGAGTAGAATTAATAGGGATGACGACTGGGTAAAAAAAGGAATCCTATAAATTAAAACAACTTTTAATCGGTTTCTTTCCTTTTTATTTAGTTTTATTGACGTTTCAGACCCTTTATAATTTCCGTGTTCACATAACACGTGAACAAATGTGAACATGGAAACTGTAAAGGGTCCGAAACGTCAATAAAACTAAATATAGACGCGAAGAAATCGTTTAAAAGTTGTTTCATTTATTGATAGTGCGCGTGGAAGTATAAGAAATCAATAAAGAAATTCTATTTAGTCCGTCAGTCAGATAATAATGAAATAGTAGATAAGTATATATATTTTTCGTTTCAATTTAAACAAGAAACGGCTTAGATAATATGTATTAAAGTTAAGAGTGGGTCCTACGTCACAGTTTTGTAGAAAATATACAAAAGCGTGACGTCTCCGATGTTTCAACTCAGTGTATCGCCGTAATTTTTGATTAGGTACGCCAAAAAAAATACTTATTTAATATTCTTCAAAAATCTACCGGACAGACAAACAAAAAAAAGTCGTCAACCCTTATACGAGAATTTGGATAAAGTAAGAACTTTTGACAGTTCTATTTCATTCAATTTCTTGTTTATTGATTAAAAATATTTTCTTCTACTAAAGTAATTAGTTCTACTCGACTATAAATACGGGTGTCAATGTTATTATTTTAAAATAAAATTGCAATTGATGAATATACCAATAAATAATCTTACATTAAGCAATTCATTCATTTTGCACATCATTACATAACATAATAATCAAACTAAGTTCTTGCAAAGCTTCTGCCTACATTTTTGCATTGAAAAATATGAAGAAACGAAAAACGCGTCTCTAAAATATATTTTAATATACAGACAGAAAACGTGTGTTCCTTCAGGGTAATTAGGCCACTTCGCTCTATTCAAGCACCAACGATAAATAGCTCATAATAAATTGCTTATCTGCATTGGCCAGCTTTTCATAGATATTGATATACACAGTATCATTAACAGTATGCTTGTCCCTGGCATAGAATTAAAATCATTATATATTTTTTAAAATGCATAAAAATGAAAGCTTCTGCGCGCATAATCGTTCGGACATTTGGCAGCTTATGTATAAAATCTTAGCGCTATTATTTATTTTGCAATTGGCAGCAGCATATTTATTTTACGCAGGTTACAAATATTGCATAATTTAGAATTGTAAAGTAAGAAGTACATGAGATGACCCAGACGAAAGTTTAAGACGAATTTATTGAAAATTTAAAACTTCTGATTAAACTTGTCGAAAATAAATCATGATTTTACAAGATTTTATTCAATAATAATTAAGGTTTTATGTCAACCAAAACATGTAAAGCTTTTAATGTAATATGTAATACAGTGGACCTTCATTGTTATCCAATCATAAAATATAGTCTTTGATGCAAATGCAAAGTTCACAAATCATAAATTAAAGATGCAATGCCTAAAAAACCAAGTTAACATGACTTACTCAGGACTATTCGAAATGCTATGTTGTCAATGAAAAATCGGATTATGACGATGATATTTAATTAATGGCCAATATTTTAAGATCACCATGCGCTTTACGTTGCCAGAGCTATTTTCAGTCACTGAATTGCACTTTATTGTAAGAAAACATGCATGGATTTGACTATTTGCGATCGGAAAACTATATCGCTCGTCCAGTAAAACAATAAAGTAAATATGAATGGTGAATTCTGGAATATCATTTGAAACAGCAATAAGTATATTAATCTTAGGAGCAAATAGCAAAATTGTATAACCTTAGTCTAATAAAAAAATAAAAAGAAAACAATAAAAAAAATTGTTTGTTTTGTCATTTACTCCTAAGATTGTACGCCCGCAGCTGCTACTTATTATATATGCGTAACTCGTTTTTGTATTATTTATATCGCATCATATGTTCTACTGGATATTTAATTATTAAATTTACATATTTCATCAACATCAGTATTAATTCGATTTAAGTATTAATTATAGTATTAAATTGTCAAAATTTCAACTCATTCTCAAAATTGATACATGCGCTCATGGCTCCGAACAGAAGACGGTAAAACAGTTTTAGCTCAATAATTATTTTTATTCTCTAATTTTTGTTAATAATATTTTTGTGACTGACAGCATGCTCGATTTATTTAAATGTCGGTAAATAACAAATTCAAAATATGTGAAGCTTATTTTTTTAGACTTTATTGGAATTGGCTTTCTACATTTATTTTTCAAAATTTATACAATTTTATTCTTCTTCCCGGTTTATCACTTGGTTCATTTATTCTCGTGTCTCCTCTGGTTGTTCTTAGGTCAAGGGAGACATTTACAATCATCTATTACTAATGTTTTCTTTAATTAGGAGAATAGAACTTGGAGTAAATTCTACCAAGTGATAAAAGGTTCTAAATTTCTTCAACTGTAATTTTACTATGGTTATTTTCTATGTGCTTAGACGTGACTGTGTTAATTAATTCTTCCTATTTGAATTTATTATGTAGATTTTAGTAAATGTTTTGAGAACTCGAATAATACCCACGCCTGATTAAATTGCTTACACCTCTGTCACATAGTGACTTATAATGTTCCAGTTCTAGTGACTTATAATGTGACAAAAGCATAATGATTGCATGGGTATTGTCCGAGTATTAGTAGGGGGCAAGCGGCTCCAGGTCTCGTGACTAGAGTAGAGCCGTGACTTGTGTGTTGTTGCAGTAAGGGCCCACACTGCCAAGGACGGCTTGCACAGCGAGGAAATGAGGAAACTCATTGACAGGTCAGTTCTGCTAGGCCTATCTAATCTAACACACTATGATACACTTACACTTAATATTACACTTTTATCGTATCACGATTTTGACACAGTTGCAATTATTTTGAGTTCCAAACTACACCCTTACCGAATTAAGATGTATGTTTGATACAAGTTACACACTCGTTGATACATATGTTTCCACACTCGATTAACCACTAATACAGTTAGCCGATTCCTTGTGTGTGTGAGCTAGCAAGAGTACATGTGTGATGCCATAGAAATATGACATACGTATATAATAAATAATGCATTATGTATGATTAGTCAATGCTCGTAATTAAGCATGTGTTATGTTCTGCATACGTGAACTCCAGGAAACAGTAAGTCAAGTATGTGAACATGTAACATTTGTATAAATTTTAATTTCGCCTCGTTTATAATTTTTGTGATTAATTTTAATGTGGCTAACACTATAATCCTTTGTGCACTAAACTTTTTTTTCTGCGAATAGTAAAAATCCTGTTTGCTAACGGCTTGTTTTATATTTATCTAATATTAAGTGTGCGTTAAAGCATGACTCGTTTATTAAATAATACTACCTACATAAGTAATTAAATTTTTATTATACCGAATTCGCTCCATACCGTTTTATCTAGCCAAGTTACCTAGCTCCCTGGCACCGATTTATTTATTAGCAACTTACGAAACGCTGTGTAAATAATAAAATACTCCTTAAGCCACCTTTATTTGGAGCTCGTAAACATTTTTAAGGAATGTATCGCTGAAGCATCGTAGTAGGTAGTTTACCCTGTAACGAAACTTGCAGTTTATCGTTTCTGAATGTATGTATAATCGTAGTGGAACACGTATTTCAGACCAGAAGCAACCACCCCAATCCCCCAGCAAGCAGTCCACGGGCGGGGACTCACAGCCTACGATACTGTGGCAGTGTAACCTGTAAACGGCACGCGACCGCGCAGCGACTCACTCCGATAATTTTCATTTATCATTATACTAGTAATCTTCTCAGGCTTGGAACAACTTTTTCTAACCGGGGCAGAAACTTCACATTACAAATCTTCTTACGGAACATCACTGTCTTGCTGAATCGACTAACACAGATTAATTTACGCGCTCTTCTATTCGTAGCTTTATAATTTCCACTTTGCTATCAGCAAGCCAGTGCACAGAGTGCCAAATACTGTTTCTGTTTTTAATAGGCGTGTGTCGCATTTTGCGTCGTTGTTTTATTTTAAATTTATCCCAACTTAGTTGTCTGGATTTCTTTTTTTTTTTTCAATTTTTTTAGATGTTATTTGCGCACATTTGTGCCATAGACGAAATCTTAGTCCTCGCGGGCTCAACTTGTCTGTAATAAACTTACGGAAGCGGTTAGTGTGCTAGCACCATTTCCCTTCTATATAATAATGAGGATACGTCACTATTTAGTGTTACCATGTAAAATCGGAAAATTATGGTTGTGGTAGTTATTGCGAATTGATATATACATATTTGCTTTATAGTTATTGTGGCGTATTTCGTTTCCAATATACATAAACGTGCCGTCTTCTGCACGTTTATTACAGACCTCTGCTGTATTACACAGCTCAGTACATAGTTAACCTTAATTTGATCTTATTTGTTCAGCTTAATTTAAACGTGTCGCTGGTATTGGGGTGTTGGTGTCTATTTAAATTAAGCTCAACATGTAATAATGTGATATTTTGTATTTTATCCCATTTTTTTTAAATTTGTATTTGATATTATACTAACATAAATGTTATTTATATTTTGTGTATTTGTAGGTTGGTAACCGAACAACCGAGTGGTTGTAATGATGCTTCCTTTTTTAAACTGACGTTGTAGTTTATATTATGCTTTTTGTTCGCTGGCCTTATTTTTTATCCTATTAATGGTTTTGATTTGCGTTTACGCATAAACTACTTAGACTAAGTTTAGATTATAAGATTCTTTTTAGAGATTATGATTAATCATCTTTTAATAAACAACCTACTATATAATCCGTAGCTAGTTAGTAACGTATGTGTTACTCAATATTATATATATATTTATAATAAAAATGAATTGTAATCAATGTTAGACACATCGTACACAAAAAATAATACTGTAATAAAAACAAAGTTCACTAAAATGTTGATATTAATACAATTACACACAACACTGTTGTAATATGATTAAAAAAAAAATAACTAAAGAAACGGAATTTGAAGCTTTTAAAATATTACCCTAGGATAATAAGATGCATTTTTATTAATCATAATCGTAATTTTATCCTTCTATAGTAACTATGCGAACGATTAGATTTAAGACACGGTCGTGTCGTTTTCTAGATGTTTCCATTATATGTTGTGCATTGTCGTGTAAGCTTTGCAAGTAGGCTTGTAGTTAGGTTCTCGCGACTTCCTAGCAACAGATATCTTCTCTTATACTTCCAATTAGGAAATTTGGATAAAACTAGATAAAAATTAATGAACAAATTGAAATATTGGAAAATTATAATATAGTAGCTATCCAATGGAAAACTGATGGAGATTTTTACCAAAAGCTAAATTATTCTAATGTAAAAATGGATGTTTAATAATTTGACGGTTTCTTGCTTAATTAACGTGCGTTTGATTTGCCAATAACTGCGAAATAATGAAAATATTTTTTTTTTTTTACATTATTTTACGCGGTAGGCCATTGCTAACTCAGCTAACTGTTTGTACCAAAGTGTTTGATTTGTGTTGAATAAAGTATTCAAACGTCAACTAAGAACATAAATGTTGTTTTATTTCCATTACTTATCAATAACCCTAATTTAATAAATAAATTTATACCGGATTCCTGAGCTGGGATATACATTGCTGTATTGATATTTATCCCACCCAACTCGAGCACCATTTATTAAAAAAAAAAAAATATTCTAGCAATCCCAACCTGCGTAGTTCTGTACATCTATGTTATTGAGAACTATATTTATAGTCATCTAATTTAAGGAAGTTGAAAAGATTATGAGATTAGACCATTAGATATATATTTTAGTAACATCAAAATAATAAATTCTGCGTTAACATCATGTTTTTTATATTACCAAATTTATGTAATTGTAGACTTCTAGAACATTTTTTAATAAAAAAAAAAAAAACAGTTTTTTACAATGTTAGAAGAATAAGGCTGTTATACGTCTCCAAAACTACTTACCTTAGCCATTAATAAACTGCTAAAAAAATCTGTTGAAGTCACCATATAAAATTTTATGCCTAGAATTAACTTTGACTATGAACTAATAACTAGTTACATTATACGAACATTATAAATTTATTAAATACATTAAAGTTTAAAAAAGGCTTACTAACCTCAAGATCATAATATCAACGAAGTTACAAGAACTTCACAGATGTAGACTATGGTGTGCATTAAGAGATTGGATCCAGCACACCTATTTTATCACTGACATAAATTAGAGGAGTAAATGTCAAGAAATCCTTAGAAACGTTTTTGTCTCATTACTCTTAGCATTCAAGTTTTCATTTGACATTTCTCAATAGCTTTCAGAGATATTTGCGTCTAACGCTTGCCTTAAAATATTTTATTAAATATATTGAAAATTCGTCGCGACCGTCATCGCTATCACATGTCAAATAGTTGTGACGTGAAGTTCGTGAATATCTTTCAAATTTCAATTGAAAGTGACTGCGATAGATTTTAATATAAGATAATTGACCACCGATCCCGTACATAGACTATGTGAAATAGACAAAACAACCGAAGTTATAACCAGTGGTCGGAATTAGGTAGAGTTATTCATGTACTTACACTGATTTCATACAGCGAAAGAATAAAGTAGATATGCCTCAAATCCAGAGATTAATTTTAAAGAGCAGAAAAAATCCCGTGATTTTTTAATTAAAAAGTTATTTACTTTTACACAATTTAAACTACTGCACGTTTTGTTATTATTATTTAGTTGTAAGATTGTTGGACACACGGGATTGTCCATTAGAAATCCCGGGAAGGTCCACATATTTCGATGCAAGTACATAAATAACTCTACCTAATTCCGACCTCTGGTTATAACGCTGCGACAGCAACACAACGCAGCAGTGTCGTAAAAGCAGCATTTAGTGCAACTAGAAAGTGGGCAATCAAATGTAACTTTATATTGTGCGAAAAGGTACCTATTAACAAGGAAAACAGTAAAAAAAATTTTGATCTACCGAAACTTGAGTGCTTTATTTATACATAATGGAGTAATTAGATAATTAAGGTTGAACACTAACAGTTGTGAGCGCTCGATGTATTCACGTAGACGCCGCCTTCACTATCTCTTCGGCCACTTCCAACGCGATCGCAGCCTCGGCCTTAGCCTAGAAAATATAATTACCTATTTACCATTTACAATATTACAATGAGTAATGCTAGTGGTTTTATCACTGACCTGTGTTCGACCTGCTGTTTTATTTATATCAATACAATGCATAGAAAAAAAAAGAAAGCAGTCTTAAAAAAAAAGCTTAATAAAGTTGAAACATATTCAGGAATTTTTTATCGAATTTGGGTGGGATTTGGTGTGGATTATTAGAATTAATCACTTTAATAGAAATTATGGCCGTTTTTACTAAACTTAGTCACCCAAATCTGATCTTTAAATAGGTGCCGTCCATAAATTACATCACACAAAATTCATGATCGCAATCCTGTTACAATATTTATTTAGGAATTGGCTAAGGTAAGTGTATGGTGTTCTTTTAAACAGACCCTTTAATAAATACGGGGCCATAAATAGTTAAAATTCATAAATTCACAAGTAGACATCTTACCTTTTCGTTAGCAGCGGAATTCATCTCGGACTGGGCTTTGCTGAGTGCTTCTTGTGCTGCGCCTCTGTCAAGATTTTCAAGAGGGTGCGCTTCTTCTGCCAAAACCTATAAACAATAGTTGTAATAATGAAATAATATATCTCGAAATCTAGTCAATCTAAAAAACATAATGAACCTTTTAATAATTAGCAACGTGTGTCTAGTAAAATTTTTCTTTCTTCATAGAATCTGCACTTAATTATTTTAAACAAGATAAAGAGTTTTTAGTTATAAATAATAAACTGAACATAAAATAAACAAAATTTAACTGTCAAACAAGATTTCTTAACATTTATCAATTGGATAAATTTTCAGAAATACAATCAATTATACAAATAAATATTTTTTTCAGCACAGTTATGTTAGTAATTGTATATACCTCTTATTGGACCAAGTTTTATTAGCCTAGCTGTCTGACTGAATACTAGAATGTTTGAGTTAAACAAACTTATTTCCTACAACATACACACCACAGCATGTCAGCATAGTGTAGCATGACAAACTCCAGAATGTTTTGTCTACACCCAAATATCACTTTTCTTGGGTGTGTGCATATGATATCTCACTCTTAACATGAGAAAAATGATGTTCAGTGTAGACAAAGAGTGTCTCGAGTTTGTTATGCTTCACATGCAGGTTATAATAAACTGCCAATCTTCATGTAATGTGTTAAAAAGTTAAATTCAAAATTTCTGGTAAACTGATTTACTGCTGTGTGTACAGTTGGCCAAAAGTATGGTCTTCCACTTTATGGTTTAGGTTCATTTGAATTTCATGAAACAAAAAATTTGATTACCACTTACAATATAATTAAGATGATGAAAAAATCACTTCAATGTCAGATAATACTCAATATTTTATAACAAAATATTTAAACTCCATTATAATGATAAGATCTTGTCAATACATAAATTTACAATAGTACCTGAACTGAGGAGTCATCATTGACAGTAATAGTGCCAGAGGAAACAAAAATCTTATTTGTTTTGCCATCATTTTCCAAAACTGTGACAACTCCAGGGCGCAGGACAGCTGAAAAATTAATATCAAATTATGGTAAGTAACACATACAGAAATTTTGTCTTTACTATCTATTTTATTAAAACTAACTTTATAACAACTGTTTAAAAATTAAACTTATTAAATTCAAAACGAAATATTAAATATAATTTATAACTATTACAAAGTTGTTAATAAATTTTTATACCTAATGTGGGCACATGTTTAGGCAGAATACCAAAAGCTCCACTGAATGATGGCACATCAATCTGCTTCACTACTTGTTTATTATAAAAAACCTGCAAAAGGAAGAAAACAGAATTATTTATAGAAACAATGCTAAAGCAAATTTATTATTCGCAAATGACATATCAAAAAACCAAACAACCAAAAACAGAACCTGTAAAAGGTAATACTAAAAAAAAGATGAAGAAACTGTTTAACACTGCCAAAGACTTGTTTCAAAACTGTAATAGGTTGGTAATTGATATTGTAACAAAATGTACATGATTTAAATGAAATTGTTTTTATATGTGAATTCTAATATATAAATAGATTCCTGAAGATATAAGGGACTTGGAATTTCAGCAGATTAAGGATAGTACTGCATAATTATAAAAATTAATGTTATAAGTACTAACAATTTTTCATTTTTGTAATTAACTAATTAATAAATATAGCAACATTTCAATTATTTTATGCTATGTGTGACATTTAAATCATATTTAATAATAAATTTTATATAAATATTCATTAATCATTTTCTCTCTTTTCATTAATTAGCAAGTTTTGACATTCATACTAAAAGTACTATAGCTGAATAGGTGTTACTAGGTTTTTGTAACTACTTGTCATCATGAACATTTTACCTTGTTCAAACAAAAATAAATGATTCAATTTTATTTGAGAAACTTGAGATTTCAGTGAATATTGAAGATATGTTTGAAATCTCAATTAGATATTGTTGGTCCAGTGGTAAAGTATTCAATCTGCAATTTTGGCAGTTTTGAGTTAGATATGCCAAAACTATTTTTTTTTTAATATATCTACAATGTGGCAAAATCCTATAACTGCAAGTTTCATAGTTACCGAGAGAAATGTTGTTCAAAAGTATCTGCCAAATCTAAAATTAGTGCAAAGTAAACTAACCAATATGAAAAAATGTTCAGTTTACCAAACCAAAATCTGTTACTTATAAAAATATCACTATGGTCAACTTGATTAAATGGCAGATTGATTATTTTACCTTGGTGCAAAGAATCACTTAGGCTAGTTTTCAATCAAAATTGTTTGTCGTATACAATACGCCACTATAGTCAACTCATGTATCTACCACTTTAGCTACTTGAACACGGTAAACAAGTTAATCTGCTTTAATTACGCAAATAACATAGAATAAAAATTTTTTTACTCGTAAATTTAAAAAATGTAAGGATGGCTCTCTCTTCTTTTAGCTCTCCTGAAAAGTTGAACTTTTGCAGATTGCATAGTTTACCACTGGATCAACAATATATACTAGACAGAGACAGACATACATTAAACTGTGATACACGGGTGACAAGGACAGACACTGTATCATACTCACCAATAGAATACTTGAGTCACTGTGTACTATTACCTCTCTGCCTGCCTCGCAATGTAATTACAATCGCAAACTTTATAAATAACATTTGTTTCTAATCAAGAACTTACTTTATTGCCAGCAGCAAATGTTAGAGCCATTTCACCTTCTTTAGGTGCTTCTGCAGCAAAAGTACGGGCTTGTAATCTCGTTGCTGAGCTCCTCAACAAAGTGCGGAATGCCATAGCCATACTGACAAACAAGAAAAGAGTTTCATGAACCTAACCTTAATTTAATTTTTCATTAAATGATATTATATATTATCACAAATTTAAAGAAAACAAAGAATGTTGAATAACTTATTCAATAATATTTTGCGTTTATTTGTAAACGATTTTATTCAATTCAAGCTTTAAGAAATATGTAGATTATGTAATATTCTTCAGATCAGTACCACAATACATCGGTCAATGAGAGAGACGGTTAAATTAAATTTCTGGTTATCTAACCAATATAACAGTTAGATACTTACTTTACTGAATGTGGTATCAAGCGCCCACAAATTTAAAAATTAAGAATAAAATTAAAAATTTTATTCAATTTCTTTACGGCACCCTCTTGACAGACAGTTGCTTTTTTCCGAACAACAATAATAAGAAAGCAAAGGAGTCTTCATACCACAGACCACTACGGCTTCATATAGCCATATTTTACGATTATTTATTTACTACTGCAATTTCATTTTTCATATCATATTTTATATCAAAATTTGAAACATATTATATGTAATTAATATCTTCAGCGTTTTTAAAATGGTTCATCTATTATTTATAAAGGACGAAAGATTTGGCTATATTTCTATTGGTCTTTAATCGATACTATTAGGTTTTGATATATTGGCACTTATTGCTTTCTATGTTTTTGGGCGTTGATATACAGGATGTTTGGAAATACATGTATAATCCCGAAACATGGCCATACAACCTAGTTCAAAGAACACAATTAAGACGTCAAAAAACAATTTCACGTTAATTGAGTTTTTCATACAAATATTTGAACATTTTGTTTTCAATTAATATGCCACAACCCTGAAAGCTTATACGTGCCGCCCCGGCGTACTCGCTCTCTCTCTCTCTCTCTTTCTCTCATTACCTCTCACTCTCTCTCGTTTCCTAGAATACACTTTGATGTCACCAACGCGCGCACTCGACTGCGTATGAGTTTATTTGTAATTGAAACAATTTAAGATTAAACAGGTACATACCTAGAGGCAGCGTTCTAATCACTCTTTTAGCTCTCACTTGTCAACATTACCTACACTTCACCTCCACTTTATCAGTCCAGGTTCTCGATATACCGGCCACCGCGTAAAACACACATCTCCATTCGACTCGACACAGACCGTGTTACTCTCGACGTAAAATCTTATCCTCTGTCTCGGTGGAATAGGTGCACCGGTAAAAAGAAATACGTCGAGGGATTTCAGCTCTTCCTGACACGTGGCGCTCGTCATAAAGCCGCCGAGCCGCAGCAAGATTACCGTCACAAGCACCAACACACATTATCATCTCGTAATATTCGGCATTTGAGTACGAACTCATTGCACAGACCGCACACAAACACAACACACAGATAAACAGAACGAGTATGAAAAACAAACCAAAAGTCCCGAAAGAACGAAAACGTAAATTGACCTTCTAAATTCTGAAAACTCACAAGTACACCGGTGAAAGTCTCGGACGCGACTGAAGTGTTGACCAAAACTACATAGGTAATGATTTCAACTCGAACACCAATTTACCTAAATCAAAAGTGCACCGATTGAGGGTTCCGCGTCCTTAAATTCTGTGTTACGTACCTACCTAACACAAAATCGTTAATTTTTTATTTAATTAAACAATAAAATTTCAAAGTTACTTATTACACTACTTTTTTCTGACGAAATTGATAATTAGGCTGTTTACTGAAATGAAAATGAAATGAAATGAAAATGTTTTTATTCAAGTAAGCTTGTTACAAGCACTTTTGAATCGTCCAAAAATATTTTTTCCCCTACCACTTGTTCAGGACGTCTTTTAGCTGACAAGAAGAACAAGCGAAAGAAACTTATCAGCTTTTTATCATAAGTAATGACATTTACATAAATCATGTCATTACCAAAATAAGTATATATTTAAAATATAAAACAAGTTTCAAAGTCTGTAGGACATAGGTTGGAACATACCTATAATTAATCGTTATAGAACAGAGCGAAGGCTATTAATTCCATGCATTGCGGTCCTTAAAATAATCATCAACTTTATAATAGCCATTACTCATCATAAGTATATTCTTTACATGAATTTGAAATTTATTTATGGGTAGGTCAATTACATTTTGTGGAACTTTATTGAACATAGCAATACATTTGCCCAGAAATGATCCTCTGGTTTTTTGAAGTCTGAAGCTTGGAACGGCAAGTTTATTTTTATTTCTTGTGTTAAGATTATGAACACTACTTTTTTTGTGAAGGAATCGTAATTTTTTCTCGTGTACATAATATTCTCATAGATGTATTGAGAGGCAACAATCAGAATATTTTTTTTAAATATTTCTCTGAGAGATTCCCTAGACCGTAAATTATATATAGCACGGACAGCTCTCTTTTGTAGAATAAAAATATCCTGAATGCTAGTCGCAGAACCCCACAACAATATACCATACGTCATTAGTTCATTACACTATGAAAATAACTAAAATATACCAATCTTGCGGTTTCAACATTTGTCAAGAGTCTAATTTTCTTAACAGCAAAAGCTGCAGAACTCAGTCTACTTGACAAGCTATCAATATGAAAATCCCATTGCAGTCGGGAATCTAGTGTAATACCAAGGAACTTTGTCGATTCTACTAACTCAACTTTTTCACTATTTACATTTATAAGTGTACTGACATGCCTCACATTAGGTAATGCAAACTTTATGCATTTCGTTTTATTTGAATTGAGCTTTAAATTATTTATCACCTCCATTCATTATAGCATTAGACAGAAGTTAAATAAGGTTCTTTTTATGGTATACTTTGTGACAAAATATTAATAATCATGTTACTTTTAAGACTGACGGCTAATTTGCTACATATCCACTTAAATACCAGCTGCTATACTTAACTGTTGTCATTTAAGCTATCTATTAAACAAATTTATGAGTATATAACTAACTCAAATGATTAAATAACTATTACAATAAAAAGTATTCATCATAAAGAACCTAAAGAAGCAGGGTTGGATAGTGTCGACACGATTATCATGTCACTATAACTCTACCAAATTTAAAACATTGCCTAACCCCTTCAAACGTTTCGGCAGTACAGCTTTTTAATTTTGTCAGACTATTATTTATTCACAATTGTTAAAATCGTAATCTGGGATTGTCATCCATTTTGAACACAGAAATAAATCTAGTTAGAAGAAAAATGTTCGTCGTTTTATATGGAGACCGAGCGTGCCACATTTTGTGTAGGTATCATCACGTCACGATCTTAATTTAGTGATGGAAGACATCATTTCACTTGCATCGAATACATGTTGTATTTGAAATGGCATACCGATTCTTATCGATTGAAAAAACGATATCGATCGACGGAGACCAACGTGTACAGTCTGTCTATAAAGTCATGAAAAGAATGTTTGAGGAACTAACATTAGACACAAGTATGACAACACTGAATCAAAGTACATCGACTGTCAACAACTTGATTTTTTAGCTCGATTTTCTGCATTTTTGATTTGTTTTGAAGCTACTTCTTCTAAACTCCGTCAAAAAGTGTTAAAAATGAAGAGAATTAATCAGAGTGAAGCTCAGGATATTATTTATAAAGTTTTTCAGTGATGTTTATTGGAACAAGAAGCTGGACACATTTTATCATATTTGTAGGATGTTAAAGCTCGAACGGCAGTTATGGCTGGTATGTAATCGTGTTACTGATTGAGTTTTGGTTACCAGAAGTTTCAAACTTACTAAATATATGAATTTAAGTCTTAAAGAAGTATTGATTACATTATGCATTTATAGGTTAGATTGAAAATGTTAGAAGGCTATATTGTAGTGCGGCCCGAACTTTCAATACTTTTGGATAATCAAATTTATCATTGATTTTAATCTGAATAAAAAATATACCTGTTAGGAATGTACGATTTTTACCTACGTACGCCAATAAAAAGTTTGTGCTTTATATTACTAAAATTATAGCATTAATTTGATCATTGTGGCGATTCCATTCTTTTTGCCAAATACCTATAGGTATTACATTTTTAAAACTTACTTTCAGGAAAATCAGAGAATATTGTGATACATATTGTAGATGAAGGTTATAAAAATGGTGGCATATTTGAAACCCCTGGGAAACATAGATAGTCGTCCTAAGAAATAAATGGTTAACTGCAACATTTGTGCACTTCGACAAAAGATTCAGTTCTTTTACTCTGTGAAAAAAAGAGGTACCTACATGAAGAAAACATCAGTGGATTGCTAAAACCGATCTGGATTTTAATTGTAGCCTAGAAGTTCTGCGTTAAATTCTGAAATATATTGGGTTTTCTTACAAGGAGTGTCAAAGTAACAGGCTTTAATCGAACACAAGCACACATTGCAGTAAAACGAGAAAACAACTTGGCAATTATAAAAAAAATAGATTTATCAAAAATTACGATTACTATATTGTAATCTTCAATGTAGAATAAACTCATTGTCTACGAATTATACGCCTTTCTTTACCTTTTCTGGGGTAATAAAAGTAAAAAAAAAATCCTACTATCAAAATCATTTGTCTCACTACACAGGGTTGCTACGTGCACGATCGCAGCGCTCTCAATTCTTTTCATGACTTTATAGACAGACTACCATTTTGCTTAAATATTATGTAAATGTCACGAACTCACGAATGTAATTTAGTGAATCGGCGCAAAAAAGATTTTATGCGATAGAATAGAAATCGGCATTTTTCTGTGGGCAAACACTTTGTAGTAGCCGCTACCCCCTCCCGACACGCTACACATTTTTACGTCCTGTGTTGTTATGTTATGTTTCACGGCGGGCTTTTCTGCAACTCGATACTCAGTGCCTATTTTCAATGACACGGGGTTACTTTAGTCCTGCCACCCCAGCTCCTCCAGGAAGCCCGTAAGATCTCGAACTCTGCCGCATGTTTCCACTAGTATCCTTGGGCTTCATACATATGTAGTCTTTTTGTCTTAATAGGCTCCTGCATTCCAG